AGAGACCCTGACAAATCGCATGTCCATCTTCTGAGGATCGAAGTCCATGTATCCGTACACCCGTACCTTTGCACTGCCAGACAAGCAAGCCCACAAGGTAGGTATCCAAGGTAAGGTACCTCCAGGTGCGGCTAGCTCCCGCTCATTCCAACACCACCACCCACCACCGATCCCTTCACCGTCTTTTGACCCTCTCTTTTCCATGAGCCCGGAACACGCCTCCTCTTTCAGCCTCCAGGAACCTCAGCATTCTCTTTGTTCCTCGAAGCGACTCTACTGTTCCCCTGCTCAATCTTTTGTCCCTCACAAGGTACGAATCACTCTGCATTTACTACTGTCGTCGTAAAGTAGACAGTACTCCGTAGCCATGGCCGTTTCTAGCGCTGTTCCCTGCCGCCTCCCGGTTCGTGAGCCGTCGGCTCGGGTCAATACCGCCGGGGCGAGTGGCCTGAGTGCTCACTCACGGTCACGGTTGTGTTAGGTACTTCATTACTCATTCGGACATTTCGTGGGGCCCCTGCTATTTTCCAGGCGGCAGGCATCAACCTGCACGTCAGTCCTTCTCCACCAAAGGTAGTTGGTTGAAAGGTGATAGCGACGCAGTTCTGCCACATTGCGTAGCTTAGCAAGCAAGCAGTCTGTGCCGGCTGTGATTGCATTGTACGCGTAGTATTTGCATTGAGAGGGTGGACTGAGGAAAGATCAAGACATGAACACACCAACGCGATCCAAAACGCCATTGTAGTGTGCAAAGGTGGAACGTGGAACATTGATGGAAGGAACGGAATGAAAAGAAGAAAAAGCAAAGGCAGCCAAGTGGTCTACCCGTTGGTGATGCGAAATTGGGAGCTGAGAAAGCTGCCGTCTACGGGTCTAGTGCATGAACGACCGTGTATTGCATGTGTCGTGAGCTCTCGGCTGCTGCTAGACAGGATACCCTGACAAGCCTGAACGAGACAAAGAGCTGGGGAGAGTTTATCGAGTCTGTGTGGCGACGGGAGAGTAGGAGAGGTGGCAGATGCGACGACCGTTCGCACTACTTGTTGCTGGTCCGGTTTGATGTTGGCAGCTTACACCATCCTTATCTCTGATTGCTTGGACTGATCAAACACCGAGCTCTCATAAGGTATGTTTATCTCACCTTTTGTTACGGCGTAGGGAGTACCTAGTCTACCTTACTTTACTGTATCTCACCCTTCATAGGTACTCCGTACCTTACTGCTGAATCTCCATGATGCCTTGCCTTGGGATTGGGTTGTATCTCGGAGTGCTCGTTTCAGGGACAGCAGAGAGTCATCATTTGCATTCCCGCGCCCATTGCCTCGGTACTTTCCCAACTTTCCCAACTGTCACTGGGTGTGGTGTTGCCGTGGCATTAGGTACCTTAGGTTGGCAGTGTGAGTCTCACATCAGGTCCGCAGGGAATTCCACAGGCACGTACTCCGTACCTACGGTGACAGATAGGTACAACTGACACAGGTGAGTTGGGAGGGAATGTGCCCCACCATAGGTAGGTTGTCTTCAGCAATCGTCAGCGAACGGCACTTGTCCCAGATCCAACACACATATTGGTGCGAGATTGCATTCCTCGGAGCGTCGTTTTCGTGAAGGCTGAAGCCCGAGTGTGCCCTGGGTTCGGAAGCGGTGAGGTCATGGTCTGTTAGAGAAGAGATCGCACCGCCAGGGCACAGATGCAGCCATGAGGTGAGTGCCATGTGCCAATTTCAATATCAACAATAAATTTTAGTCTTGCAGGCACGGGGCAGGCGTAGCAGGCATGGCAGGCAAGGCAGGCACCAAAGAGGACCTGAGGGAACGCCTTCCCGTTTACCTCCCGCCCGACAAGAACAGAGGGACGGACGGCAGGGAGGGCGGGGCCTTCGCCGCCTTGCATGTATTCCGTACCTATTCATTCGTACAGGGAAGACTCTTGGAAGGAGCCCGCCGCTTGCTGGACCTGCCCTCCACCCCTCAGGTCTCCAAATGAATTCGAACCTGCCTGGTAGGTACGGAGTACTAGACAGCAGGTACCTACCTATTCTCAGGGACCACACAGGGCAGCCGCTGACATCTTCTCCTTCACGCATCGACCGGAAATTTTCTGCAAAATTCTGAATCAGATTGTCTTGGACAACATCGGAAGTACCTTGAACAAAGAATCATCATCTACGGATACTCCGTACGCATACCGCCTGAATGCTTACCTTACCTTGCACCTCGACTTCTCAAGGTAGTACCTTAGGTACAAGGCCCCCAACATCGAGTTTTATGCTCCTGATCCTTCCGACCCGTCGGGACCCTCAATGATTTTCTCCACCTCAGCCGTCTTGGACTCTTGGTCACAGCACAGCACAGCACAGCACAGCACACCACCTCCGCCGCCCTTCCTCCCTCCCTTCCGTCCCCTTGGCGGAACATGTCCGGAGAACCATCCGTACAAGCTGGACCACGCCGGGGATAGCGACTTGCAACGTCTATTGTCCAACGCCATCGCAATGCAGCCAACTGGGCCCTTAATAATAATCCCATCCATAGGCACGAAGTACTGCTATGGGCATTGGCATTAGTATTAACACAAACCCCACTTACAAACACCAACCTCCAGGCTCCATCACTGTTTCCTCCTCTTCGCGGCAACTAACACTTATCCCTCTGTAGACAGGCTTTGCAGAGACTCATGGCGTGCCTCGCCAACTAACTGATAGACATTCCGATGGAGTACATGCCTGGCTGCACACAGCAGACTCAGAGACGCATACCGATGGCGAGCCGTTAGACGCCTTGCTGCCGACTTTGGCGTGGCCTAAGGTACTGCATGCAGGATCCTGCTTTTTTATCCTTCCGCCTCTGTCCGCCCGCTTGGCCGTTTGCCACGAGATTCGGTACGGCGTCGGCGGCTGACCAGTCCACTGGGACGCTGCAAAACCAGAAACACCACCTCTTTGGCTGACTAGAACTTGCGCTCAACAAAGACACTGATCTGACCGATTGGCCGAGATATGCGCCAGCCATTCGGAGATGCAATGAGATGCGATGCGAATGGCGCACAAGCTTCCTTTCCAATATGGAGTTGCAATGGCATTATGGGACACAATAAGGTAGCCCTGGCCATGAATCGGGGGTTGGGACTCTGCTGATTGGCCGTGCGCGCGCCATTTCCCTTGCCGCCTCTGCCATCTCAATTCACCGCAGCGCTTAATTATTTACAACACGAGATGCAAGCCCGTTCCCTTCTTGCCTTCCCACTTGTCGGCCCTCCACCTTGGCAGTGGGCCTAGATCGGGTCTCGGTGCCACCACCACTGCCAAGACTCCATTTGCACTTCTCCAAATCTCTCAAGCGTCAGAATCCCCACTTCATCGACGACACATGCTGCTCTTTTCCCTTGCTCTTCTCTTCTCTCAGCTGAGAGTCTTCTGGGTCTTGATCCAAGGAGCGGAGGGGGCCCGGTGAAAAAAAAAAAAAAACAAAGGCAGGCAAGAAGGGTAGTCGTGACCGCGGACGCTGACGGCTCACGGACTCCTCAAGGTTCACCATCCAGGTGCGTCGTGATGCATCTGACGCTCGGCTTACTCGATGAAAACACCTTTTGGGTTAGCCGGCGGCCACTTGGAAGACCTCGATCTTCTTCTCGACGACTTGCCGGTGCCAGTGCCCGAGCCAGCGCATCAGATTACTACAGTGAGTGGTTGGATGGTCGGTTGGTCGGTTGGTCGGTCGGTCCACACCCAGCGCAGCAGAGCACCAGGACCATCCAGCTCCAGTCGAAAATGTCTCGCCCTCTGTCGATCCAGCTTGGCCCCCGAGCAGTCGCTGCGGGCAAAGGGGGCTCGCAGCTCGCTGGCTTCCATCCATGGGGCTTTGCTTCTGCGTCGCCAACGTCTTTGTGTTTCAGATGACATGTCTCAAGGTGGACTCACCATCGCTGCCGTTGGTTCTTCCCTTGGCCAGCGAGGCATCTGTTCACTTCGAGTTGAAGGGGCTCAGAGAGGTCTCGTGAGCTGAGCGAAATACTTACCTAGGCAACTCGACCTACTGCGTACTCTGTCAGACTTTCCACACGTGAGCTGCCAACCAGAACCGACCTATTAGAAAGAAGGCTAAGAGGCTTTGAGCTGCTTTGACGGGACTGTGCGCTGTCTGCATACTTACCTACCGTCCCGACAGCCAGCCAACCACACAAACCCCCACCACCGAGATCGTGCAAGATGCGGTCGATGGGACCCTTGTTTCTCTGCCTATGTACCTAGGAGGCTGGCAAGATGAGCCGCTGCCCGCTGGCAGGCCGCAAGCCCATTCTCGGTTCGTGATTACGCGCAGACAGTGGACCCCCTGCCCTCCATCCACTCGCCTCGATCTCGCTTCCACTGTAGCCTGTCCACACGTGTTGACGATGTATGTAGTATCAATGTACCCACTCGTCTGACCGTCCGCTATCAACGTACGCGCACGTTCTCCGTATATCTTACGAACAGTAAGCCGTAGGCAGGGTGCGATCGTGCCTAGTATTGAACGGCTTCATGACAAGTTGTCGGTTCCGGTCCGAGTCCCCCTATACTCGAAGAATGTCAAGAGAATGATGGAATTGATACGAAGTTGTCACCGTGGGTTTCAAAGCTCAAGATGGTTTCACTTGTGTGTTTCTCTACCTAGCTATGTTTGCAAGAGCCATCTATAGGAAACATACACCTTGGCTGTAAGTATCGGTTTTCGCTGGTACTTTGGCCGTATAGGCGTAATACTGGCCGAAAAACAAGCCATGGAAAAAAAAAACATGTTTTCAACGCCTGGGAACCCAGCAAGACTCTTCCCGCTTGCCAGTTCGCTGTCAACTTTTTGGGTCCTTGCCACCTGTACCATGAATCACAAAACGCCTTGCCGCAAATTTCAATACCAACGCCATTCGTCTGACTTTGTCGACCTGTGTAACAAACCACAAGGGCCGATGGCGAAAAACCTCCGAGAACAGCATGGGCCATAATCCAAGACCGTTCCAGTCTTTACTCCCCGCTGATCTTAGCATGGCGAAAGTACTTCATTCCCATCCAGGCCACGGAGACCCATACCCAAGCCATGATACTGGTCAAGATAATGAGGGCCGGATAGTAGCCCGTGATGGGCAGCGTCGGATCGTCCTCGAGCTCCGGGGGCGCGTACGGGGTCGTACCGACATCCCACGCCCAACTCCATACCCCGAAGACCGAGCCCATGCCCATAACAAACACCAGCCCCGTCACGATCAAGACGACCCAGCCCCACCATTCCGTATCCGAGTAGTCGATTTCGGTGTCGTTGGGAGGTAATGGGGTGGTCGATAAGCCGCTGTACGAGAGCGGTGACTTGGCCTGCAGTATGGACTGCTGCCTAGGCCGAGTTCCATAGTAGGATTCGGAGCCCGATGAGAGCGACGAGTCGGGCTGTAGGTGCGACGGCATGTGGTTCGGTATGTGCAAAACGTCGTCTTCGTCCGTTGTAGATGTGTAGGATATCGTAGGGCTGGTGATGGTGGACTCGGCCTCGTTTGGTTGTCGAGTATTCGACAGAGAAGATACTGGAGATTCTACCAGGCTCGATCTACTCGCATACCCATCCATAGACGGCCGCGGCGTCAGGTCCGCGATATTCAGTCCGAGAGGGTCGTGCTCGATAGTTGTCGTGTGCGATCGAGACACAGCGCCCTCCACGTCGCGGGAGACAGTGTGTGACGTGTCAATGGTGAGCTGCTTCGCCTCTTTACGCTCCCGTTGGGCGCCTCTTCCCAAGAGAGCCACCTTCCTGAGGGAACCCTTCCTTCGTCGAGACTTTTGCTGCTGCTGCTGTTGCTGGATGACGGTCGACATGGACGTCGGCGGGGAGCGCGAAGTGTCGTCTTCGGCTTCTTGGTGACGCTGCTGCTGCTGCTGCTTCCCATCGGAATGGGAGCGCATAAAAGGGAGTTTGGAGAGGAAGTTTGCGCCGGAGGAGGTGCGTCGGTGGGGCACCGTTGATGGCGGCTGTTGCTGTTGATATTGATGCTCCGAGAGTGAGACCGATTTTGGCGATGCAGATCCTACTGTCGATGGGTCGTTGATTGCAAACGTGCGACTCTCGGCGCCATTGTCGCCGCCAGCCGCAGTATGATCCATTGCGTTTGGTAAGGTAAGGTATTTCGAACTGCGATAATCCCTTATCGTTCCGTCGGAAGAGTGGACCAGGGATGGGGTGGGGGAGAGTCTCACGTCAAAGCTTGGGGACTGTGTACGAGTCGGGGCCGCGACATTGACGCCCACTCTATCGGCGAATTTGAAGCAGGGGGTGGGGGGAAAAAGGGAGGGAAGTTCAGCTAAGGAAAGCTGGTGGTGTTTCTGGATCTGATTGAAACTCTGACAATGCCATGTAGAGCTCAGGTTGGCAATTGGGGTTGACGCGGGTCGAATATTGAAAGGGCTAACTGCAAAGAGGTAAAAGATGTAGGACCCTGCATTGTGACGTGGGTCGCAAAGTCAATGCCGCTACCTACCGCTGCGGACTCAATAAAAGGTGATTCGGTGCAACGGTGCCTATAAAGGTAGGTACATACTTAAGGTAGGCGCAAAGGCAGTTAATGTACGGGCGGGAATAGCAGGAGGGAGGCTAAGTGGTTTAAGGTAGGTAGGTACGGAGTGTAGAGGAAAGTGGGCGGGAGTGTTCCCCTGACATGTGCCCTTCCCTTTAAGCCAAATCTTTGAGTAGTAGCATATTCTCCCCCTGAGCAAATGCATCTAGACCATTTCAGTTTGTGGGGAAAGGTAATGGGTGGAGGGGACCCGGAGACAGATCTCTATCGTCCCTTCTTTGACTGGACCTTTTTACCCTTTTACCGGGCTAGCAGTGACACCGACTGGAATTCTAACCTTCCCGACCTGGCGACTCATTCTGTCGATGATTGCACGTCACGCACGTCTCGTCCCATCTCTTCCTAGTGTATCTTTTGCCTCGCCTACCCATTTCTGCGACCTTTAGCCCCCGGAGCAACGCACAGTGCATGCCGATGACTGTCGGACACCACTGCAATTGACCCTGTCATTGTCGCTGTCCGTCCTTGTCCCTTCTTCTCGGCGAGGGACGTCGCTGGGAAGAAAATAGTTCCATGGCTTCCAGCCCTGCAGCAGGCCAATCCTCCTCCGCCCCTCTGCGACCTGCCACCCCACCGATCCCCAAAAGCGGTAACGGCAGAAGTGATAACACCTTGTCAACCCATGTCGTCTATGGTCCTCCGCAACCCGCCTTTCCATCTATAAACATCAACGACGAAGCCTCCGAAGTGGACGAGAAAGTGGATGAGGACGGTCTTCACCCTAGCACCTCCTACTCCCCCGGTGTAGCATCGACGCCCATAGGCAGCCCCGGACTTCTCGCGCCCGCCAACCTGAAACCTGGGTTGCTTCGTCCAGACTTCCCAACACCAGCAGACATGGCCGAAGACGACCCTCCCTCTGCTGGGGGCTCGATCGTCCCGAGCCCCTTCAACTTTCAGACGCAGGTCATCTCGACCTCGCCTGTCAAGTCGGTATGTTCAGATATACATCATCGCCATCATGCTGCACGCCCCTTCCACCTCCTCTACCAGCCAATTGATCGCTAACATCGACGCCTCGCAGAACATTGGCCAGCGTCGCGGCCATCGATACAAGCACAGTTCCATTTCTACCCAGCATCAAATCTTTCAGGAGCCTCCCCAACGACCGCCGCCTGTTCTACCAGCCTCCCTCCCTGTGCCCACCGTCCGAGAAGCATGGAAGAGTATGTCAAAGGACCAGCGCGTCCGGCTCTACTGGAGCTTGTGCCACTTGGCAGTCGCGACTTGGCTCTTTTTCATTTCCGAGGGCTCCGTTGCCATGATGGCACTCTCCCATCTAGTCTTCTTCGACGCCGGCAGCGCAGCGGTATGCGTAGCCGTCGATGTTCTGGGCAACTTCGAGGTTTGGCGTCGTAGCAGTATCCGTCATCCGTTTGGTCTCGAAAGAGCTGAGGTTCTCGCCGGCTTCGCCATGTCCATATTCCTACTCTTTGGCGGCTTCGACCTTGTGTCGCATAACCTCAAGCACTGGCTAGAGACAAAAGGTGGACATGAGCCGCACCACGAACATGCCCACGAGCGTGTCTCGGCCGGAGAAGTGGACTGGGCTGCGTTCGCGGCCATCACAAGCACAGTCATTTCAGCGTACGGTCTGAAGAACCATGCACGCATTGCTAGAATCATGCGTGTGTCGTGGCTTGCCAAGCTACCTACCCACTTCTCTAACATCTTCCACTTCTTGACGGTCTTTTTCTCAAGTCTACTGCTCTTGTTGCCCCTTCTGTCCATCAAGAGCTATATCTGGGTCGACCGTACTCTCTGCGCCGCCATTGCTGCCTCTATGTTTCTGTTTGGCGCCAAGCTGGCCATGGCTCAGGCTATGATGTTGCTCATGTCATATGGTGGTATGGGTGGTAACGAGGGTGTGTCTTCGGTGGTGCGGGAGATCGAGGCAGAGCCAGGCGTGGCTCGCATCGAGGACGCGCAGTTTTGGCAGGTGCACTACGGACTGTGCATGGCTAATCTCAAGATTTGTGTCGCCAAAGGTTGTGACGAGGGAGCCATTAGCAAGCTACGCAGTCGCATATCTACTCTGATTCAAAATCGGCTTGGAGAAGGATACGGACGCGGTACAAGCTTACGGTGGGAGGTGACTTTGCAGACGAGTGTTGAAGCGACCCTTTGATCGAGCGAGGATAGCGGTTTGTCTTATCAGGCCAATAGATAGACCATATTTGTGTTGTACGATTTAGAAAAGCGAAACCAAAAGCCTCGTAGAGTGTCATCTTGTTCACTTGAGATCAACGCCAAAATGCTGATGGCAAACACATGGAGAGCGAGAAAAGTCTATTCTTTCAGGAGACCGGAGTCGAGGAGGGTATCCTTCTTGTTATATACCACTTTACACAAAAATACCACAGAGAAGAAATTTGCAAGCAGACCAAGGCCTGCCCTACGCCGCTGGCGCGACGAAGAAAGGCGAGGCCGACAGTACACCATTGATCTTTCAGACACCCAAACTCCTTTTGCACCCAGGTCATAATGCGTTACAGGCTCAAAATAAGAAGGGCCGGTTGAGAATGTCGCCAGAAGATAGCTCCTTCCCAATCAAAACAGCCCCCAGCGTCCGCGCTGCTTGTCGTCCTTGTTGGGCCTGTTGTTGCTTCCCTTCATCCGCTCTCTCTCGCGGCCCTCGAGCTGCCTCAGGCTCTCCATCTTCTCAAGGACCAACTCGAGCAGATCCTTGCGGCGGATGACTTCCAGGTGCCTCTTGATCTTGGGGTCTTCCTTGGCGAACCTTTCGATGTCTTCTTCCGAGAGGTGCCTTCCGAGCCGGAGGTCGAGTTCTCTGGGGAAGTTGTAGTAGAATTCCGATAGGAGCTCCACGTTGAGGAAAAGAACAGCCGTTGACGCGAGCTTGGTGGCTGCCGCATCGAGGAAAACCTCTGGGCAGTAGTACTTGTTCTTGAGGCTGGTGCATTGCTTAGACTTGACAGCCATTAGACGCATCTTGATGATATCGGCGCGATCCCTGAGGAAAACAGCCTCCCGTCCTAGAATTTGTCAGTGATCAGCTACACATGAACAACCAAATCAGACTCACCTCTCTTAAGGAGCGATGCGCTGAAGCCTCCGGCACCGCTGCGACTTTCCCCTTCAACGACAACATCCCCCTTTCTTGCTCGATCGACAAAGTTCATCACTTCTCTCAACTTTCGTCGACCGCCTACGACATCTTCAATGCTCTTCAGCGCGCCCTCGCAGTCCTGAAGCTCCTTCTTCAGGACAACTGCCGAGTGATCCCGACCCTGGATCCATTCTCTCTCGTCAATATCAATCTCGAACTTGTAAGGCTTGATACAGTTCTCAACTTGATCGCTTGTGCTGTAAAACCGCTCATTCAGAATTGTGGACGCAGCTTCGTTAATGGCCTCTCGGGCAAAAGGATGGCTGCTGAAAGTGGAGTGCTTGATCAGACTGTCAATGTGAGCCTGAATAGCAGACGCAACGACGGTCGTAGCCAACCTGCCAACGCCCAGTTTTGTCAATGAAGAAGTGGACGCGTCGAGCTGGCGATGCCAGTACAAAGAGTTGGGGTCAGCTTTGGGAAGATCAGCCAAGCTGTCCGGCTCTGGCATCGCAGGGGACAAGTCTTGGATGGGTTTATTCCAGTACCGGGCGGCCAGAAGGTCGAGAACCTTCTGATCTAGCTCCTGCTTCAGCAACTGGTGCATTTGCGGGCGTCCAAACTCCTCTGTAAATTGCTTAAAGGAGTGTTTGAAACCATCGAGGCTTTCCGCCAAGTATGATTCGGCAGATAGAGGGCGGTCATTGTATTGCACCTTGAATTCATAGGTCGCTTCCTCAAGCTCCTGTCTGATGGCGTCGCTAGTAGTGGCGAGGCTAGCAGACATCGTTTGTTCGAGGACTGTCATGAGCTTCTTACGTAGGTTGATCGTCCCGACGTTGACACCAGCACCCTCGCCAAACTCTAGCGGGTGGGCGGAGAAAAAAGTGTTCTCGTTCTTTGCGATGGCCGACATTACGCTACCAGATCTCTTGAAAAGACCAGTCGTTTGGGGAACTTTGGAAACAACACCCACGTAGCCAAGCCTCAGAGGATACTGCTTGTCGCTCAGGATGGCGGCACCACGAGGAGCGTCCACCAAGTCCATCTTGGTAACCACACCGATAGTCCTCTCGCCTCTAGGATCCACACGGCGGCTTGCACGTAGTGCGGTCGAGTTTGCGAGATCTACATCTGCGGCGGAGATGGCCAGAATGACGTTAGGGGGCTGAATGTACTTGTCGCATAGCTCTGATATCTTCTGCTTCAATTCCAGAGGCTGACCTTGGCCAACCACCTGGATGTATCCGGGCAGATCGATCAGAGACAGATCCGGTACGTTCGGAGAGTAAATGGTAAGATGAATGGGATCATCCGATACGCATTGAGTGTCCGGCACGGCTAGGTTAAGCTCAGTCAAGGTCCTTTGGATTGAGGAAAAGTCGGTGATGCGTCGTAGACCCAGATCGGGGAACTCGCCATACTCTGCGTCCGACTCGGGCGTATTGACGAGGGTCAGCTCTATTGGTCGGCGAGTGACCATGTTGCTTCCTTTGGGCAGAAACTCGTGGCCAACAAGGGCTTCCAATACGGAGCTCTTTCCTGACGACTGTGAACCGATGACGACAATTGAAGGGAGCGTCAGAGTGCTCGATTGTCCAACTTGTTGGAGCATGCTCCGAATCTCGATCATCTTCTTGGTAAGGATCATCATCTGGTCGTCATTGGCCACCTCATCGGGTTCTCGCGGGTCGTCTTCTGAAGATTGATCATAGCCGTACGCAGCAGCCGAGCCTCCTGCAACAACAGCCGCACCAGCTCTGCTCTGCTTGGGTTGCTCCCCTCCAGGTCCTCCTGAGCCACCGCCGCCAGTGCCAATGTCTTCATGGATACGCAACACCTTTTGAAGCCATTCGGGGGTTTCGATTTGTTCCTTTGTGTTTTCCCAACCGCGCATCGTTTGATCCATGATTCCTTTGGCACCTCCAAAGAGACTAGACGTTGTTTCCGAAATACCATCTGCTGTTTTGCTGACCATATCCCAGGCGTTGGTGGTGAGCTCTGTGAGTGACTTGGTCAGCAGGGGCGACTCGTCTCAACGCGAAGAGGAAGCCAGTACGTACGGTTAGCCTGGTACTGAATCCAGGCGAGGGTTCCGACAGCTAGACCACCGAACATGGCGGGGATTCTAGCAAACTTGATAACCAGCTTTGGTAGGAAGCGGGCAAAAGACGCATTCCGCACGACGACGGCGTTGTGGAAGGCATTGCCAGGGAACCACATGCGCCGTTGCGTAGCACGCACAGCAGCATCTGCTCGCTGAAGCCCGCCTGCGGGAAATCGGTGAAAATGTCGAACGGCCTGGACTGGAGCGCGTCGCGTCAATGGCGAAAGCCCTGCGGCCAGGAGACGTCCGCTCATGCTGCCGGCGAAGCACGGGACGCGTGGAGTTTGAGACGGTGGTGTGTTCTTCGCATGCGAGACAGGAACTCGAGTGAGAAAGCCAGAAATTCGTGTATCCGAGATGGAGGAGCGGTGTGGTTGTGGTGATAGTTGGTGTGGGTTTCGCCAAAGCCTCCGACCCGACAAGAGACTTGAATATCAGAAATTCGTTGACATGCCACGAATCGGGGACGAATGAGGAGCGGCGTGAATGGAAATCAAGCGGGTTCTCGCGGGTTGCATGAAGAGCCCATTTCACTAAGGCATCTACCTAGTGGGGACGACCTGGCATTGACGTACCGTCCATCTTCCCCAAAAGAGGACCTAGGCACCTCCCTGCTTTCTCCTTACTAACTTACCTAGTAGTACTGTGTACTTAAGCAACAAAGGTATGCACCATCACAACTGCACATTACCTACTTTAAGGGAAGCCGCAGCTACCTTAGGTGTATGGCTTTCTCTTATCGCTCATCGCATAAAGCCTTATCGCCTTCGTCATACCCAAATGGTAAGGTAACTAGAAGACACAGCTTCAATGTGCCTCCGATGGCGCTGGCTCTCCAGTTGCACCTGGGTGGGCAAGAAATAATTTGAAAATAGTCATCCATGTTCCAGCAGCTGACCAGCTTTGCATATACCGCCCCTGATCAAATGACTCACTGTTCTCCGTAAATCTTGCCTCGTTCATTCCCAACTGAACCCTGAAAATTCACGAAAGACACTCGGAAAAGCAACCGGAGTCCCAGACGAAGGCGCAATCGCTGGGAGTCATTCTTTTAGATTAACAGCAATACCCACCACTTTACGGTATACAACGCCCAAATCTTGCCTTGGGTTTCTAACCGACGGGCCTCAGCTCTACCTCCCCCACCCACCCACCCACGTACCTGACTTATTCGGTACTCCGTGCTCTGGCATTCAGCTGGTAGCTGCTTCATCCCTATCAACTTGCGCCACCGCCCTGGGGTTTCTGATCGCGCCATAGCTCATCAAACGAATAAATCTGGCCAAACACTTCCTCCGACGTCTCCTACTCGTGAGTTCATAGTTGACGTTTGGTCGCATCCTCTGGGTCCTAGTTGCTCTTGTTTAAGAACAGTCAAATCCCCGTCGAAGACAAAGTCGCATTGCTCACGCGACACCTATCACTACTTCTTCCCCCCGACGCCTTCCTCTTCTTCTCGACTACGTCTGAGTTGCCCGTCACAGCTCGCCCAACATGTGCCGCTTCCTGGTAGGTTCGGTGTCATTGAGCGCTGACAGAACACCCGCTGACTGATTCTAGGTGTATCGGGGAAGCGACGAGATTCTTCTCTCCAAACTCATTCTTGACCCTACGCATTCCATCCTGAAGCAGTCATTTGACTCCAGGCTCAGATTGGTATGTCACTCTGGCGCATAAATTTTAGGTCCCGTACTGATATCTGGCGGCGGCCAAACAGGATACACGAAGAGGCCAGAACAATGCAGATGGCTTCGGAATCGGTTTCTACACGGATCCCAAGCTTGGCCACGCACCTTGCCTCTTTACCTCGACAATCCCCGCTTGGAACTGCACAAATCTTCAACGCATCGCCTCCAAGACCGCTTCCCAGCTCATCTTCGCCCATGTACGAGCAACGACTGAGGGATCCCTCAGTGAGGATAACTGCCACCCATTCTGCCACGGTAGCTTGATGTGGATGCACAACGGTGGTCTTGGGGGTTGGAAGTATATCAAGAGAAGGCTGGGTTCGAGATTGGCCGACAAGTGGTATCTTGGAGTCCAAGGTGGTACAGACAGTGAATGGGCGTTTGCGCTGTTCCTTGATACTCTCGAAAGAATGGGCATCGATCCGGATTCACAGCCCGCCCACGGTTTCGGGCCTACAGTATTAAGAAAGGCTATGCTGAAGACCATCGCTACAATCAACGAATTGATCGATGAAATCCCGGAAAGCACGATTCAGTCGGAAAACATCGACACTCGAAGCTTGCTCAACTTTGCTGTCACAGACGGCAAAAGCGTTATCTGCACTAGATACATCAGCAGCGCGACAGACGAAGCCGCGAGTCTCTACTACTCTTCAGGCACCGAATGGGGTACGAGGACATCGGCAGCAACCGACCGCAACTACCAAATGGAGCGCCAAGATAAAGGCGCGGATATTGTACTTGTCGCAAGTGAACCGCTGACGTTTGAGAGAGGTACGTGTTGAGAATTTGGCAATGTGGTGTTTGGGCCAATGCTAATTGGAACAGAGAATTGGGTCAACGTTCCCACAAACTCGATCCTGACAATCCACAACCAAACTGTCATGGTTCATCCGATTATTGACAAGTACTACGATCGGAGCCCGTACCACGCCAGATCAAGCGCTTTTGTTCAGACGAAGGGACTCATGGCAAACGAGAAGATTTCGTCACTACTCAGCCCGGCAGCGACGTCGTTGCCAGCCCCTGATACTGCAAAAAATAGTCTTGGGCCGACTATTCCTTTCAGCGTTTCTCGCGGCCACACCCCTGAGCCTACCAATGCTGGCAAATCCCGGCTACATAGCCAACTTCACGAGGTATCAACACCGGCAGACTCCAGGTCTATCATGACCTTCTCAAGCGCGCAAACCAGCACGTCAAAGCCTCCAGTTCAGGGAAACATCAAGGTGAAAAGGGCGGCGCTAGAGCAGGCTGTTCCCAGTGCCGATAGCGATACAGACTCGCTGCTACCTGCGGAGGACCAGGCGCAGAGCAGGACAGAATTTGGCCATCCTAATAAGTTGTCGAGATTCTTCCCTGAGTTGACCATGACCTAGCAAGAGGGAGCCGTGCGTGTCCTGAGGAAAAGACATCAATCAAACAATTCAACCAAATACCCGCCTCAACACGACCCAGCCGCCGTGATATGTCGGATCCAGAAAGCCGGCAAAGCAACCACATAACTAAATCAATCAATCGACTAGAAAAAAGAAGACGCAGAAGCTTCGCTCCCCTCACGTGGGGCTTACGAAGTTTCCTAGACACACTTACCAGCCTCAGGTGTCGCGATACAAGGATTTATCAGAAGACTCGAACTCGTGCCCCATGGGAGCCAAACCTGTAAGCTCACGACTCTCAGGAAGAGCCGTACGCGCGCCTCGTAGATGCGCCCACTGTATTAGTACTACTTATGATTGCAAATGGGTAGGGTATTTTGGAGTTCGTGTCTGCATTTATCACCTAGGTTGCTAAACCCGCTATCTAGAAGAAAGAAATATATTAAGAACCAAAATTGTTTATAAGCTCAGACGGTGACAAGACTGTGAAACTGTACCGCCTGGCGTTGCTCGCTTTCCGACTGAACAGCTGCAAAGCATTTGAGCTTCTGAAGGTTGCAGCTCAAGATGCCGAACATGAAGTCCGATTTAACGCATAATGCACTTCGCCAATTGACTTGCTAGGGATCGAACGGGGCACGAGTAGTTCCGCTCCACACGGGTTGGACTACCCCAGAGACTCGGACACTCAGACTAGTCCCTAAATCGCAGCCAAGCACGCAATCTCGTGGGTCATCGATGTTGTATGAAGACTATGCTTATACGTGGCTCGAACAGCTACGCCAACTGGCATTTGGTAATGCAGATGAATACCCTGTATGTAAATTTTGCTGCTCTTCAAATCCCGGAATATCGTACTCAGAGTGATAATGCTGATGTTTCAGTTTCAAGATCCCATAGGCGCAGGCAGAGTTTAATTCCCTGGAATGGTAGTTATGGCGGAGTCCATCGGCAGACGGACGTGCTGTCGAGTAACTTTATGTCAAAGTTGACCCTATTTGCTGGGCCAGATCATGAAGACAGCAATCGAATGCCAAGTGCCCACAAATGGAAGATCAATACTTCACGAAACGGCCGTCTCTTATCTTCCCTGACGAACTCGCCAATAGGTAGAGACGTCACCCTACTTACTTAGGTAGCTTCCATAGGTAAGGTAGGTAGCTGCGGGAATAAACCGCTAGGGATCTTATCTTGAAACTGATAAAGCCACCACCACTCTTCACCCTGCACAACTAATTTGGACTATCTTACATTTCCTTATGTGACCACCTCATCTACTCGCTAGCATAGATCAGAGGAGCAATTTCTCGTCAACCCGTATTTAGACAATCACAAATGGCCTCGCCAAGATGCTTCTTTCTAGACTTACCTTGCGAGATTCGTCTCGACATCTATGCCCTTCTCCTTCTTATCCACCCTCCCCTGGATAAAGTCAGCCCATCCTCGCCGCAAGCATGGCTCTATCCCGCAATCCTCTCCACAAACCGGCAAATCCATACAGAGGGGACGCCCATTCTCTACGGCAACAACATATTCCTCGCACACGCCACACTCCTTGCCTCCTTTCCGCGCCTGCGGCCATGGTACCCGCCCATCCGGGAACGCTCCGTGCTCCCGCGCATCCGCCGCTTCCACATCCGGCTGCGGCTGGACTGCGACCTGGCGTTTGATGCCGCGGCCGCGACGGCGGCTTTCAGCGGCGCGGATGAGCTCGTCGTCGAAGTGTGGCAGGCCGCCTTCCAGAGTGCAGACCATGGTGCGCTGCGGGTCTTTGAGGGGGTCCGGGCAGTCAAGACTGTCAGGGTCTATGGGAGCACCACGGGGTTTGAGGACTACGTGGGCTGGCTCGAGGGTGTGATGCGCTGCGGCGGTGAACTCGAAGGCGGCAAAGACATTGGACTTGTCGGGACGATGCCATCCTAAAGTCAAATCCCGTGAGTTTCATTGCATACTTTGGCGGTTTATGGCATCTCAGTTCCCATCACCAGGAGTTCAGAGCTCTTGGCAGTACTGTACAGTCCGAGGGGCATTGTGCAACTACCTAAGAGGCCCCTTTGAATACAGGAAGCTTCAGTCGGACGAAATTGAGTCCTTCCCATACCACCTCCATGGATTTACCGGCTCATACAAAGCTCTATGATTCAAGTTTTCCCAGCTATAATACGTGTAGCACGCAGCAAACATCCCCGGGAGCTCATCACTGTGGCGGTCGGGCTCTCGTCAATGGCGACATCACACCCCGCGGTGACAACACTAGACTCCACTCCGCGCTCGCACCTGCTCCTCCACAGGTCCCCTGACGTCCAGCTGTAGTGGATCACAGGGACGATGATTGGAATGAATGTGGCCCCTGGGCTCCGCCTATCACAGCAACCTCGTTACCGGCCTCCTGGTCACTTGGGCCGCACCCCGCCGCCCAGAAGTGATTTCCGCTGGGCCCTTTTTACGGTGCTGGTGGGGCCGCTGACCTCGGGACCGCTGGCCTGTCGGTACCTGCGCCGAAATAGCGCAGCGACGACGCTAACCCACATACGGTCGGTCTCATGTCGCAATCCTGCGCACCGGGCGAACAGCTCATTTGCAACTTTCTTGCGGCCTTCCCCTCCAGTCGCAGCACGTCAAAACTCTCACCTCCAGCACACGAACCCAACGACTGGAGGTTTTGCTGACTGCATATCTCGACGAAAGGTGCCGGCGAGAAGGGAACGCACGAAAGCTCATCCAGCAGGATTTGGGCATCCCGTTAACTTCAATAAACTCTGCTCAACCTCGGTTTCAAGAGATTCTACAGTCGAAAATGGCGTTCGAATTTCTCCCTTTCCTATCCGCCGTCTTTGGCTGGATTTACTTTCTCTGCTGGTCCGGCTCTTTCTACCCGCAACCTCTCCTCAACTTCCACAGGAAAACCACGGCCGGTACAACAGTTGATTTTCCCCTGATCAATTGCCTAGGTAAGAAGAATCCAGAACACCACGTGGAACACAAGAGAAACAATCTACAGGTACAGCGCTGACACTCCCGACTCCCGCAGGCTTCCTCGCCTACTTTGTCTCCAACGCCGCATTCTACTACTCCCCCGTCGTTCGCGCCCAGTACGCCGCGCGCAACCACGGCCTCACCCCGACAGTCGCCTTCAACGACATCACTTTCGCCGCCCACGCCCTCCTCCTCTCCTGCATAACCACCTCGCAGTACGTCCCCAAACTCTGGGGCTTCACCCCCGCGCCTGGCACGAACCCGAGCCGCTTCATCTCGGGCATCGCCTCGGGCTGCATCGTGGGCGTCGCCGTCGTCGGCCTCATCGTCGCGTCCGCCCCGGGCGACGGCGATCCTATCACGAGCTGGTGCGCCCTCGACGTCGTCTATGCCGTGTCCTACGTCAAGCTCGTCATCACCCTCATCAAGTACACCCCGCAGGTCATTACGAACTACCGCAACAAGTCTACGAAGGGCTGGTCCATCTGGCAGATCCTGCTCGACTTCTCTGGCGGCCTCCTCTCTGTTGCGCAGCAGGCAATCGACTCGTACCTCCAGCGTGACTGGTCCGGCATCACCGGTAACCCTGTCAAGTTCGCGCTGGGCAATGTTTCCATGGTGTACGACTTGGTCTTCATGACCCAGCACTACGTCCTGTACCGCGGCTCTGACGGCAAGGCCGACGAGAGAGATTCGCTTCTCCGTGCGGACGATGAGGAGCATCAAAGACTAGACTAGAGTAGAGTAGACTCGTCGCATATGTACACATATGGCTTGGAATACACTTGAATATTTATCCAGTATACCAGTAGGAAAAAGGAAGCCTCGTAGATCTTCTAGTTTAACACTTTGCTAGCTTTGCCAGCTTTGCTCAGACACCCAAGCATGTCAAGTTGGCATTGTGACCACTTCTCAAAAGATCTCAGTGTGGACAAAAGCCGTATATAGACTTTCTAGGTAGTCTAAGATGAAACTCTAGCATTCTAAGAATTCTACCACTACGGTCTGTACCTTACCTTACACATTGCACCCATGACATGCGACCCTCTCAAGTCGAGACGCAACGATACCAACCGTTACAGCAACACCAAGGGGGGGACTTCTTTAAAAGGAGGAGAAAAAAGGCTTCTACAAAACACAAAGTGAACAAAACTGAAAAAAAGGTGTAAAATTGAGGAATTGCATCGAATCCCTTTGTATGCCTGCCCTTGAACGCCGTCGAGGGGATATGCAAATCTCTCAACCTCCATCTCTCTGCCGTAATCAAAGAGAAGCCTCCCCTTCACGCAGCTTCTTCTTGAACGACTCGCTTTGAGAAAAATGGTGTCGTCATCGCTGTCTTTGATTCATTCTTCTAGAACTTTTGTGTTCCCCAGCCGTATATGCGATTTCTTCCCATTTGTGACTCTGGGCTCTTTCTTTCTCATCCAGACAAGCACTGAGGCTCTCTCTGGCTATTCCAATCCGATCCAAGCGTTCATGAAGAGGTATTTCCATTTGTCTGCATAAAGGCAGGAAGCTTCTTCCAACTCTCCTGGCTAGGGACCTTGACCTTTCCAAAGTCCTCGTCAATATCCAAGATGATCTTGAGGGCGTTGCGGCTGCGGGCAAAGGGGCTAGTGTCGAGCTTCTCCTTCAGGGTAGAGATGGCATCGCCAACACCGGTGTGAACCTTGGAGCTCTCAGGCTTGCCGGGATAGGGGATGACGTTCTGCAGAACCTCGTAGGCGGCGAGAGTGAAACCGAATTGCGGGGAAGAACGGAAGATTCTGGCAGGACCGCCCTTGAAGAAAGCACGGAAGCCCTCCTCCTTCCAGATAGTCTTGGCGGCATGACGGAGACCAGTGTAGGTGGCCTCACCCTTGCGAGCCTCGACCTGAAGACGAGTCTTGATGACATCGCAGGGGGTGGTGAGGTAGGCAGCAGGCATACCGGCAATGGCACCAGCAGTAAGCAGCTGGACGACACCTAGCTTCTTAGTAGGAGACTCGCCAAAGAGATCCTTCTTCAAGTGGCTGTAGGTAGGGAAGTAGATGGCCGAGAAGGGAACATCACGCAACAAGCACGCGGAGGCACCCTTGTAGAGACCAACGAGACCCAAGTTGCGCACAATCCACATGGCTGACCTCTTGGGAGCACCCTCTACAGTCTTGGCAACCTCACCCTGGACCTGGAGACGAATCTTGACAATCTCGAGGGGGTTCGTGAAGACCTGTGAAAAACGATGTTAGCTTCTGTCGCTTGCTTTCTAGACTGCAGTGAAGGATAAAGTGTACTTACGACTTGGCATGCACCAGCAGTACCACCAGCAAGGATTTCATGGCCAGTCCAGATCTTGCCCTCCTTGTTGGTGAAGTACGTACGCACAAGGTCGTTCACCGTCAGCTTAATGGCCTTCTCTGGCGCAACACCAATAAGCTGGGGCACAACACCCGAGTAGAGGCCTCGGGGTCCCTCATTTCTCCACACCTTCTGGAAGCAATCGATCGAGTTCTTATACAATCTTTCTCCCGGTCTGGCGCTTCTTTGGTTCTGGAGACGGGTCTTGACAAGGTCAATGGGGTAGACCATGAACGCTCCGAAGGCACCAGCCAAACTACCCAGACCAAAGTTGTATGCGGATTCGAGAATCGACGAGAGAACAGCCTTGGAAGCTCCAGCTCCCTTGGCAAGAACTTGCGAAGCAGCATCATCGGCCTCGTAGGCAGCGTTTCTCCATGACGGATCGAGGACCTTGGCAAAGTCGCCGAGGCCAAGGCGACCAGAGGGCTCGTCAAGGCTGGCAAAGTGGAAGAGAATGTCGGCTTCCATGGGGGTGAAGAGGGAGAAGCGAGTGATCTTGGCAGCCTGGTTGAGGAATTCCGTCCTTGTGATCTTGCCGTCGGAACTCTTGGCGCAAGCACGGCGCACAATGAGCTCAACCAGATCAATCTCCTTAATCATGTTCTGGAAGGCGCGAACGTTGGCGTAGGAAACCTTGCTTCCGAGCGAGATGTTACAAAGAGTCGACAGGTTCTCGAGAAGGTGGTCAGAGAGCTTGTGCTTGGAAGTCTCGCGAATGATGCGCTCAAAGTCCTCAGGGTCAATGAATCCATCACCATCCTTGTCGAACAGCTGGAAAGCTTGACGGATGCGCTCGCCCTGCAGACCACGCAGCATCTGGGAGAATTGAGGGTAGTCCATGTGATGGCGCTTCTTCTTGCTACCAATGTACAACTTGGCCCATTCGCACTCCCAGTCAAAGGGAATGCTGTCGGGACCCTTGTTGAGCTCATAGAGCTTTCGGAAGTCCTCGTACTTGACATTGCCGGTTCTGTCGACGTCGAAGAGGCGGAAGGCGATCTCGTACTCGGCGTCGGGCTTGATTAGGAGGTTCTCGAAGGCGGCCCACTCGGAGAGGGTGATCTTGCCGGAACCCTTGCGGTCGGCGATGCCAAAGAGAATGCCGTACTGCTCCCGCTTGATTTTGTGCTGCGACGTTGGATTGTAGAGTCAGTAAAATGGATCGCGTGATTCATCGGAGGGATATCGGAGCTGGGTTGTGCTCCCGCAGCAGTAGTGACAAGTCGGAAGAGCACTCAAGGTGAGGTTAGAGTGAAAAATCGGACTTACGAAGTCTTCATCCTCGGGCGCAACAGCCTTGGTGAACTCGTCGGGGCCCATGTAGAGCTCTCCTGACACCTCGTCCTTGACAGCATTGGCAACGAATCTCGCCTTTGTCTGCGCAGACAGCTGGACGGGCTCCTCGGCGCCAAGGAGGCTCTCCTTGACAGCCTCCTTGACGGCAGCTGCTTTGCTCATCTTGGGCGGCTTCTGCAATTGAGCTTGTGTGGACGAGGGAAGGTTTATTAGAGTGCAGGCGCACAGGAGAAATGGTTCGAGAGCTGTCACTTCCTAGGCCCTGTGTAGGAGAAGAGGAGAAGGAGCGCTCGGTGAGGTGAGGTGACTGTGGCCCTCGAGTGGGTTGTGGATTGAGTGGACCTTGATGCTCTTGCCGCTTGCGCGACGGAGTCTGGTGGCAGGTGCGGACACAATGAGATTGGCCTTTAGCCGACGTGGGCCTAGCTGGAGATGGGGAAGGAGCCGTTGGCACTTGTGCTTCCCTCTCCAGTATTGGTCCTTGTTGGTCTTACGGTATTATGCCCTGAATATTACAAGGGGGACAGATGGGAGTGGGCAGAGCAGACAAGGAGCAGAAGAAGGGGGAAGGAGCAAAGGGTGAAAGGTCAGGCCGGCAGAAGGGGGTCTAATCTGGGGAAGTTCGTCACACACACACGAAGCAGGAAAAGGCTTTCTTGCTGTAGCCGGGAACTAGTGACAGCAAGGTAGGTGCTTTTTCTTCTTCTTTTCTGGGTGTCGCACGCGGCAAAAGATAGAATGCAGAGAACCTTGGAATGGCTTGTAGGTCTCACTCAGGCTGGGCAACATGGACTGGACTTAGGTCCCTATGTACGGATACGGATACCTTGGACAACCTGAGTAGATGCACCATGGGTTCTTATGACGAAGTCAGATGGATCGCATCAGGTCAGAGACATACAGCAAGAGACAGAGGTATCAGAGACAGGGCCAGAAACAGCGGGAGAACCTGAGTCAATTCCAAGGTTCCATGGTGCCCGTTTTTCGGAATCGCCAGCCATCTGGCGTAATTTTTTTTTCCTTCCTTGCACGCGGGAGTCAGGAACACGCGCCGGATCATTGTTGACCCCTTTGAAAACCCCTGCAGATTGGTCCGATAAGAACTCCGATAAGATACAAGCAGGGTTTATCGCCGATTGTATCCCGGGAAGAGGTACCTACCTATTCGTACACAGTAAAGTAAGGTAGGAACCTTGGCTGATGAACCTAGGAGAGCGCCATCGAAAATACAACTGCCACATGCACATGCAGGCAGACACAGGACCAGCTGGGACGCACATGTGCACCATTTGCGCTGCACCGTCCGCGTGCTTGCGCTCGCTCTCGGGGTTCTGACCGCCTCGGCCATGCCTGTCGTAGCTACCACCGTCCCGAGTCTGCACTCTCTGCAGAGCTGTAGTCTCGAACCTTGTCCAATATTTTCTTTTCCTTTTCCCTACCTCCTTTTATTCTGCTGGTCTGTATTCTAGATCAGCGATAATAGGTGCCCGAGCCAATTATGACTGTATCGTCTTCATGTTCTCATCAACCTTCACTAAAGCAATCAAGCACGTTTGAAGCTGGTCTACATATCCCTTACGCGAGGTACCTAGTAGTACGTAGCGACAGCTGCGGCAAAGTACGATTTGCGCAAATGACCACGATTGGACCATCTGATCGCTTCAAAAGATTTCAATCTGTCTTTCACTCCCACATGAAATCGGACGCGACCGGGACATTTGACACAAGTGACGGGGACCAGGATACGAGAGCCAACGAGCCCGTTCCTCCGATTGCCATCGATTCGTGCGCATAAACCTCGGACAAGTGGATCCCGGACCCGCTCCGAACTTGCCGACAGCCAGACAGAAGTCCAAGAAGTTGCTGAATCTTGAAATCAACCGCGACGGGACGTGCGTTTATTAGACACACAGCCATTGAAGTGGCTGTTGAAAGGTGGACCTTTGGGGTAAGACTTACCTCTTCAATCCATTTAGGCACTATCGTTTATTTTGTTTTTCTCCTGCCGCGCTCCTTTCGATGCATGGCAATTCTCCGACTATTGGTAGAACGCGGACCGCGGTAGGTCTATGCGCCTCCAATCCCCCCATCCCCAAAAACTCCAACAAAACGTGGGGGGGGGGGGGGGCTTGGGGGAAATCCCCTTAGCCTTGGGTAAGATCTGGAGGTTATGTATGGACAATGCGGTCGGTATGACCTAGGCTCAGAAAAAGACCATTTACAGGGAGGTTCCACGGATGCCCAGTGCCGAAGGCTCGGAGCAGTTCAGCTCGTTAACTTCCCGTTCTCCGAGCCGCTCAAATATACTGCCGCAGTTTCACTTCGATACACGCGCACCAACGGAGCAATTTGTAAGGTAGATAGATGTCTAGGCTCTCCACTTTGAGACTGTAAGCCGACGGCAGTCATCCATGGAAGAGACCTCGAGTCGAGGCTGCCTGCTGCACAATAGTGAATCAAGCCTGGAGTTCCGAAGGATCCCAGCTCCCTTCGCCCTATCCGTACTCCAGACAGGGCCCTGCCTTACTCGTTCAAGTTCCGAGGCTCCTCGTTCTTGCCAATAAACCATTCTCGCCTCACAAATGAACTTGTGCTGTTCCAAACGGCCGAGCGGCCCCGATGAACCCCACGCAGTCACCAAACCCCACGCCATCCCCAGCTTGCCCGCTGATGCGCACACCGTCTCCGTCCTGCAAATACGTCCTATCTTGGCCAGTGGACGTTTTCCAACCCACATTACCGCCCTTGGTCATCTCTAGCAGACATCCGTGCTCGTCATCGCCTGCTCCCGACACCGTTCCCGTCGCCAGAATATCGCCAGTGTTGAGATTACACCCATTGATCGTTTGCTGGGCCACGAGGTCGCGGAACGTCCAGTACATCCAGCTGAGCTGCGCCTTGCACACCGTCGTAGCCCCGTCAGCGGTTAATACTTCGGCCGTTAAGGCGAGGTTGTAACTCGATTTCTCCTTGTTGTCCAGTAAGTATAGCTGCGCGGGTATATCCTTCGGAGGCGGTTGTGTTGCAAACGGTTCGAGTGCTTCCAGTGTGATCACTTTTACGAAGTTAGCAAGCACCCTTTGAATCTCGAGACAGATGAAGTCGCGTCTGACTTACCCCACGGACTAATCGACGTCCCGAATGACTTGCCGTTCATTGGTCCCAGCGGACTCATCTCAAATCCTTGGATATCGCGAGCTTACTCCCATTAGCATCACATGAACACTTATCAAGGGAAGTTGGGACTCACCACTCCAATCGTTCAGCAGAACGAGACCAAACATATGTTCGTCGGCATCCGTTACAGCTACGCGGTCTCCGAGCTGCGTCGGCTTCCCAATAATACAAGCCACCTCGAGCTCGTAATCGAGTGCCCTGGAGGGACCGAAACCAATACTGTTCCCGTCACGATATTGCCCATACGGGCGCGTGATCTTTGTCCCCGAAAGTACAATCGATGAAGGCCGGCCACTGTAGCCGATGGGGAGGTATGGCGCTGCGGGTGGCATGGAGGCCTTGCCCACGACTGCCTCTGACGCATTCAAGAGATGTTCTTTGGAGCACGAGAAATCGGTGAAGCCGTCTACTTTGATAGGTAGGTGTAGCTGAACCTCGGCGATCGGTACGCCATGTTTAGACAGTGTCGATTCGTCAGATAGGGTTTGTTGGATGTTCTTTCGGAGGATCCCGAGCTCGGTCTTCCCTACGGTCGCCAGGGCATTAAGGGTCGGCTTCGGTGCTGTTAGCATTCACTGTCGACTAGAGGGACAAGTGGCCAGACCTGAGACAAAGCGGACTTGAGATCTGCAGAAGTTATGAGATTGAGGTCAGAGATGAAGACGACCGAGTCCCCTACTCTCGTGACTACGCCTTTTGCATGATTCGCGTCACTTGCGATTCCGTACGGAATGTTGGCAAGAGAGAAATGCTCGGAGAAACTCATGCTGGCAGAGAGATTGCGATCAATGATTAGCTTGTCAAGTTGTGCTTGGGTCATAGAGAGGTTCTTCTTGTATTAAAGCAGGCTGCATTCCTTTTACACGTACACGATGAAGCTCTTTGAGCTCAAATGTTTGTTTGCTAAGGTATTTACCACCATCTTCCTCGGCGCCCCCGCTTTCCCCCACCCCCACCGGCCCCGGATTTTAACCCCGGACCACCATAGGTACTGTACGTAGTAGGCTCGGATCAGCGACTCGGAGCCCAAACCCAAATCGCAAGCTTGGCAAAGCTGATGATAGAGAGTAAGGCACACAGGCATTAGCACTCTGCAGCTAGCTTCAATTTTCTCTACTTCTGAGGAATCACGGGTAAAGTGACATAGTTCTCGAGGCCTTGGCCAAAATGAATATTGTTTAATCCAGCAAATTTGGATGCAGGCCTGAAGAGGGGGGGTTGTTAGTTTATAGTTATCGGGGAAAGAATTGAGCAAATTTGAACTTACCGGTCAACTTCTGAGCAGTGCTGGAAGATTCCGCTGCCCTGGGTGTCGCCGCTGCTAACCTCAAAGACGATCTTACCGCCCTTGTCGACAACGACATTTGTCGGCCAGACCTCGACGTCTACGCCGTAGACCTCTCCAGCCTTGACCGGCAGCACGTCTGTGGAAAGGTACTCTCTATGCGGCAACCAGGACTTGTGCTTAGGGCTCTCGTCGTGCACCTTACGGTTGCTCACTCTCAGCCAGCCCTTGACGAGCGGCACGGGGTCGCCAGCTGTTCCGGTGTAAAAGACTTCCTGACCCGATGGGTCGATGTGACGCAGGGTCACGAAGAGGTCGATATCGGTTTCATTTCCCGAGTTGTCGGGCGTTACCGAGACGTTGAGATGGGCTGTGACGTGGCCTGTGATCTCCGTCTCTTGGTCGAAGGGAGCGGACGTGAAGGAAACGACTTGAGGATTCTCCAGGGACCCTAGGGCCTTGTACGAGACAGTCTTAGAATCCTGGCCGGAGCCATTTGTCGTCAGACCAAGGTCAGGCGTCAGATAGAAGTTGGTGTACTCTGTGCGTGGGATTGGCCAGGCTGTCTCTTCTCTCTTGGGGTACGCCTTCTCCTTCTCAGCGTCGTTGAACCCGACGTTGCCCTTTCGTAGAGTGAGCGTCACGGGAGGCACCTTGCCAGGCGTGCTCCAGCCGACTCTGTCTTCACCCTTCAAGAACGCATCGAGGAAACTCTTTTGCAGCTCCACTTCCTCGGGGTAGTAAAAGGGGAGATCGTGACGACCAGTGATGAAGCGCAAGTACTTGAGCTGGGAGCCTGCTCCGAGGTAGCCCTGCACGTTTCCTCTCAGGTGCAGAAGGATACCACCCCAGTTGGCTACGCTGAGAACAGGGACCTCAATGTCTTCAAGCTTGTATTCTTTGCTTGCGTAGTAGTCGTCATCGCGGAAACGGTTGGCCTCGTTGTCCTTTGTCTGATCTTGGCGGTTGGCTACCAGGACGTCTTCTGGTAGATCACCCTCGATGGTGTCCTCTTGACCTCTGGCCCCAGGACCATCGGGAGGGAAATCCAGCTTAGACCTATCCTTCCTGCCAAATTGATTTACCAGTACCTGGCGGTTCCACCAGAAGCCAATAAACTTGTTGGAGTGGATGCCGCCGTGACGGCAGCGGTCGCGGTAGTAGTCGGACATACCCTCCCAGGGTATGATAGCCGCGAGACCCTTGGGTCGTCGAGCGGCAACGCGCCATTGAGAACCTGGAAATATTAGGTGAGTAAGTGGCCTCGGCTAAGAGTACAAGAAGAGTAGTAACAACGCACCAGCGTAATACGAGATGCCCAACAGACCGACCTTGCCGTTGGACCAGGGCTGATCTGCGGCCCACTCGACAACGTCAAAGAAGCACTCGCTTGTGCCACGGCTCATTGTATCCAGCAGTCCTGGGCTCTGGCCTAATCCTCGCTCGTCGGCGCGAACGACAGCATAGCCTTGACTCGTCCAGAAGACCGGATCGGGCGTCTCCCAGGCCGAGTATTTGGATCTCTGGTCCGGCGCAACCTCGCTGAACGACTTGGGATAGAACTTGGCATAGGGGATATCTTTGCCATATGGTCCATAGGTCACCAGGACAGGGTAGCGGGCGGCCTTGTCCGAAGTGAGCGGGAGGTAGACGTTTGCGCGAATGGGGAGCGGCGAGTCCTTGAGTGGGATGGAGACGTTCTTCATAAAGGTGAGGCCATTCTCCTGGTCCTCGGTGACCTCGAGCAGGTCTTTGATGGGAGGGGTCTTGACGGACATGGTGATTGAAGCTCAATGGTTGCCTCAATGTCTCAGGTTGGGTGGTTACGAGCATTCGGTGGAAATAGATCTGAAGTCTTGGAGGGGCGTTCCTTGGTTTTATTGCGACGGGGTGGGCGGGACTGGATAGTTGAACTCTTTCACCGACGATGGGATGAATGGAGCGGATGATGCAAGATGCTTCAATGATTGGACCCTCCTCCTCACATCATCCTACTTCGGGAGGTACGCACTATACCTCTACTCCCCATCGCTGCCGCCGCCGCCGCCTCCGTGTATGGCGTTTGTTGCGCACGGGCGGAACGGTGGGGGAGGGGCTGACCCCAACGGGCGGAGCTAGCACGGTATTGTTTCTACCTCGTCTCGGTACGGACTATTCGTATTATGATCCCTTACGGTAAGGTAAATGAGATGATACTCGTCGCAAATGCCAGATTCCCTGCCCCAGGCCACCACACGGTGAAGTCAACCGAAAGGAAAAATTTGGAGTTTGATGATTGCTTGCAGACACAGAAGATAGATAGCTGTCATGAAGAATACTGTACGAATACAGAATAGATGCCATCCGCCACCATCATGCCTTTAAGGCTACACTACTCCCTAAGAATCTCACATCCAGCGCGTCAAAACTCACCACCGACCTTGAACCTAAAAACATCCTTGTTCACTCTGCCACCCGTCGACCTCCAGAGCCAGTTGGTTACCTGATGGACTCATGTCAGCATGCTCACCTTCACCCATTTCGCATGCGCTACGAATGACGAGTGCGCGTTCCACTCACCCCTTGAAGCCAACACCCATTCAACATGACAAACACAAAGGCCGACTCGATGCCATTTGACCCCCATGGCCTGTCTGCTATATCCATATTCGTGTTCGCCGGTCTGTACGGAGGGACCTGGCGATGCTGGTCGTACCAGCCGGGCGGGTTCACTGCTGCTGGCGATGGCGCGTCCGCATTGCCTCTCGCGAAGGCTTCCTCGACGCCTCCAGTGAGGCGAATCTGGTAGTCATGGAGGTAGTCTCGTTGAATTGTCGTCGTGACGGGGTTCTCTGTGACAGTTGCCGACATGATGAACTGCTTGCTGTCTTCGCGTATGTGTGTGGTGAGATGATGAACAGGCGAAATCTATCGAAACTTAGACAACTTGAACAAGAAATGGTAGAGATGCCCTTTGAGAATTGGAGATGCCTATCTCAGAAATTCGAGACGAAAAGGCAGGGCACCGCTTCAATATGCCGACCGTCGACCCGTCCGTCCCCACGGACCCGCGCCACCCGATCAACCTTGAACCTGAGAATACGCCTGCGTCGGAAGTGCGGAGAGAACCAATGAGACCTGTGGTAAGCGTCGGTTTGGGGGCTGCCGCCTACCAGATCCTAGTTCAACCGCAAGCAAAGAAGGTCGAGAAACGACTAGCACCCCTGTCCTCCACATTCCGCCCCTCCAACAAGCCGGGGCCTAGCTCAAACGAAGGTTACGGTCCGCGGACAGATGTTTGAGCTTGCCGAGTTCGTCGGATCTGTCCATGAGTCCGATATGAGCTTGTGTAGAGCAAGCTCAAGTCATGTAGATAGCACAGTCGCGCCTCATTTCGTGTCGTTATTCCACCACCGTACGTTCAACTTTCCACTGTAATCGAATCGCTCTATCCTTCACCTATCAACGAGAGCTTGCTATCTCCTCAACCTCCTCCAGAACATCGCCGCAATGAATCCTTCTGTAGAGAAGTTGCTCGTCACGCTCGTCGACGGGCGCGCCGAAGTCATTCGCTTCCGCCAGGACAACCTCATCAGCCTCCACAACGAGCTGCGCAAAGAATCCGCGGCTCTGACTGCCGCTCAGGAGAAGGACACCGGCGCATCAAAGACAGAGATCGAGGCAGAGCACTTCCTCGCGCTAGAAGCTGTGCGACACTTTTACGAGTCTCTCAACTTCTCGAGGGAGATCGAGGCCGAGTATCTGGTCGCTCATGGCAAGGACAACACGAGCAGAAGGACCGGTGCGGGGCTGGTGATCATTCGGCCGACTACTTACACCAGGCTCTTCTCTATTCTAAGTCCACTTGCTGCGGCCCTAGCCGCCGGCTCTGTTGTTGTTCTTGAGGTATGCTTTAATCATTCACAACCTTGACTTAGTCGTATGAGAAGTTAACAGGAAGGCCTACAGCTCGAAGATACGTTGTCGCAGCTAGATTCCGTCCTCCGCAACGTCCTCACGCGCGCCCTCAATCAGAATGCCTTCTGCATCACCAGGAAGATCACAGACGAAACATTGTTGTCACAGGCAATCCTAGTAGACCAAATCAACACAGCGACTTCGAACGCTAGTCGCGTAAACCATCTCATTTCTGCCAATGGCGCTCGAGCCGTGGCTATAGTCGACCGAACAGCTGATGTAGAGGCTGCTGCGAAGGCTATCACGGCGGCGCGCTTCAGCTTCGGCGGCCAGTCACCTTATGCGCCGGATTTAGTCCTCGTCAATGAGTTCGTGAAGAAGGAGTTTTTTGAGGCGTGCTCCAAGTACGCCTCGCTCGCGTTTGCTCGCGAGACCACAGTAAAGCGTGCGAGTGACAGCGCCAGCGACGAAACGAGGAAGGCAGTGCAGGAGGCCGAGGACAAGAGGCTTGCCTCGAGCTTTGGGTCCAAGGACTTTAAGCTGGTTGACATACAAGACAAGTAAGTTGGGGATCCCACTCGCTCTAGTTGACGAAGATGCTGATTCAGTCAGGAATGCCTCCCTCTTGAACATCAAGATTAGTGGGCGCTTTCTGCCTATCACGACCTCTTCTGGTCTTGTAGACTCCATCTACACTCACGAATTCGAGTCAGTTGAGCCTCATCAACGACATCAAGGTTCGATGCTAATGTGACTAGAAACCCTCTCTTAGCCGCCTACCTCTTCGCCAGCCCTGATGCAGCAAAATACCTCTCCCAATTTCTCCCCGCCCATGTCTCCGTCATCAACCAGATCCCCTCAAACCTCCTCCTCGGCCCGGCAGCACCGCTCTCCCATGAAGCAGCTTTTGAATTCCGCTACAGTAGAGAAATGTTCTCCGTAGCCCGGCCGCAGTTCGTCGAGAAGCCCGCCGGCGCGCTTGCGAAACTCGAGCAGCTCCTCACCAGCTCCGGCGCCATCACCGCCCAGAATCTGCATGCCTTAGCCATTGCACCGCTGCGCCCGACAAACCAGCCGGGAAATAGCAGACTAGGTTTTTTCGAGCAAGGCTTCGTGCTGGGTGCCGGTCTAATCATGAGCGTTGTGCTTCCGAGTCTTGCATACGGCACATGGATTGGCGGAAGGCGGGTATTTGATTATGCGCTGAAGCTCAGGGGTTAAACTGTAGTCCTACGCTGGAGGATAGTCGTACATCTCAATATGTATCATATCATATCATATACCTTAAGTTTATATGCATTCTATTCGATTACATGCAATCTTCTCCATAATATTCTTCTTGGCATATTACATACAGTCGACAGGTTATGCTGCTGGCAATACCAGGCTACTAGATCTTCCCATTCCCGGACTCAGACCGCTTAGTAATTCACTACAAATACGACTAGATAGACAAAGAAGTATCATTGAGGAATTCAATATTTGGAAAACAGACTGAGGTTAAACCTTGTCACGCCTGTCAGAGCCTTGAACGTACCACTTGCCTAATAAACAGTATTCGGCAACTTTCCCCGGCTCGGGATCGGCTCGGGAAGTGGAGTGACTCCAAAGTGCCCGCCCCCGGCCCCATCGGCCCCAGCTTTACCCCAGGTCTTGGTCCCGCTGATTCTCTGACACTCCAGCGCCAACACGACCTAGAGGTACTCCAAGCTTGGGCAGGCCACGCAGGCGTCTTCGACAATGGAACGTTTTATCGCCCTCAGACCAGTTTCCGTAAATGGGGCCGTTTGAATTGACTTCCAAACGAACTTGGGCGGCAAAACCTATCCTCCACCAGCCGATTACTTACACAGGCGAAAGATAACCAGCTCAGTGTCTTAAGTCTCGTCAGCTTCCGAGTGCTAAGACAGCTCTTGTCCGTTGCTTACTTTTGTGATCCATACACTGCTGCGTAGATATCTCATTACTCACTTGCCTTACTTCGACCCGCTCAGACGGACGAGTTGAGAATCCAGATAGCAATCACATCATGGCGGTCGGAAACAAAGATGAGGGGCCAATGAACCCCGTATTCCTCTTCGCGCATGGATCAACAATGATGCTCGGCGAGGAGAGCAACTCGGCCACGTACTGGAAGAAGTGCGGCGATGAAGCCCTCGCCCAGGGCATTGAACACATCGTCATGATGGTAAGTAAGCTCCATTCTTGTTGAAACCACACCCTACTATATCATGAGAGCAACTCAACTCACGACGACCACTAGGGAGCCCACTGGGCCACAAACGCCCCCGGCGAGGTCCTCATTTCAGCCCACCCGACGCCCGCAAAGTCACCAGTCGCCTACGTGAACCCTCAGAAATACCACCCCTACAAACTGAACCCAGACCTCGACTACATCCCCACGATCCAGCAACACCTCACCGCCGCCGGCATCCCCTCCAAGACAGACCCGACCTTTGACTGGATCCACGACACCTACCTCGTCCTCATCCGCATGTTCCCCGCCGGCTGCCCGCCGACGACGCTCATCTCCATGAACGACTTCTATGACCCGCACTTCCACGTCGCCGTCGGCGCTGCCCTGCGGCCCCTGAGAGCCGCCAAGCACAAGACGCTCTTCATCGGGTCCGGCGGCTCCGTCCACAACCTCTACCGGAACAACTGGGCGCCCATGCTCAAGTTCCGCGACAACTTTGCTCAGCCTACGCCACCGGAGCCCTGGGCGCTGGACTTCCGCCAGGAGGTCATTGATGCCTTTTGTCCCGCGTACGAGGAGGACGTCCCCGCCGACCAGGCCGTCTACGGTAAGGCCATCCGCGGCAAGAAGCCGTGCGGCGGGCCGCTCTTGAGGCGCAAGGTGACGAGCTTGATGAAGCATCCCATGTACCGCGAGGCGCATGCCACGGATGATCATTTCATGGCCACCATGTTCATCGGAGGCTTGTGCGGAGACCGGGGCGACGCAGCAATGAAGGCTGAAATGGGGGCCGAGGATTGGGAACTTACGAATATGTGCAACTCACAGTTCATGGTCGGTAGCTGGCCGGAGGCCAAGTGAACGGACCGACAAATGGGGGAATACTTTTTGATGGTATCTGATACAATAATATGACGTTCTATCCTGTGAGGTCAAGGCCTCGTCGTGAATGCTTTGTAGTTCATGTAAACAAACGAGATCCCACTATAGGTCTGTTATTTCAAGAACACACATTCCTGTGCTAAGATAGGTCCATGTTGTCCCATTGAAAATCGTCGCCAGCACCGAGGCCACTGAAGAGGTCATCGGCACCGAGATCCAGTGATCCTCCACCGTTGTTCGACGAGCCCCCGAGGCCAAGATCACCGCCAACACCTCCTAGGCCCAGGTCGAGACTGACGTTGTCCACAGACATTCCGTCGCCTTGGGCAACATTGGCAGCCGCAGCAGCCATGGCATCATCGAGTGAACCTGCGCCAGCGTCTAGGCTCAGACCAAGATCGGTCTGCAGCATGGTGTCTGCTTGGATAACCTCGGCCTGGGACACGGCCATCTGAGTTTCTACCTTGCGGTACAATCTCACAACAATCTCGGCCAGGTTCATATCGACCTTTTGCAGCTTTTTACACTCCTCGGCATCTGACTTAAGAACCTCTCGTAGAGTAAGCTTCCTCTGGACTGGAGCCGGTACATTGCCCGAAGTGTCAATAAAGTTGATCGGGTTCGACGGCGTGTTCACTACATCGGGCGCGCAGACCAATGCTGTTGCCACATCGTAAATGATGCTCCCGCTGCCTGTTTCTGTTTGTTGTCTGATGTCTTCGTAGAGGAGCTGCAGCAAGCGTTTTGCACCAAGAAGTTTCATTGCCACCAGCATCTGTCGATGGGTGTACGCGGGAGGCATCCTGTCCATTGTTGGATGGATGCTCCACTGCACCAATTGCTGTAGCGTCTGTCGGATAGAGTTAGAAAATCCTCCCATTGACCAAGCATCCAGTTCTTGGTGGTCGGCAGCACCCGTTCTCCTGGAAAGCGGGATACTATCTTTGATTGCTTTCAAAAGCGGTTCAACCTCTTGGCTCTTTGGGTCTGATCGCTGATATGCCCTGAGGGAATGCTCTAGCGGCTTAGCAACTATGTTCATCACGGAAGAGAGCATGGCTTGAGCCTCATTGGATATAGATGTTGGTGCCAAAACAGAGTTGAGTACCCTGACAATCGCCTTTTGGCAGTCAGGACGCTCAACCCACAAGGAGTTGGCAAGAGAGGTGATGGCAATAACGAGAGATGGCAGAAGGAACGTATCGACAAGATCTGTAAACGTGTCAGCGCAAATCTTGGTCAGACTCCCTCAAGTTCCTACATTCAATGCCTCCTCTGAGGCTCTCTTCCGTCAAGTGTCCTGTACTGAACGCTAGAACGATGTTATGGAACAGAGTCGATACTAGTAAGTAGAAGTCTTGAGGCGGGCAGGACGACATGAGCTCATCGCCTAGTCCGCCCGCTTCCGAGTCAAAGAGGCCGTGGATCCATCCATCCAAATGGCCCTTTTCTTGGTCTGATAACTCTTCCAGGGTCCGACTTTGGTGGCCGTGGCCGAGTAGTCTTGCCACAAAAGAGTCAGAGGATATGATGCCCAGGTCTGATGCCGAAAGACCGTAACGATATGCGAAAGCCATTACGAGAAGCAGAATTGAGCCAAACTCCTCGTAGACGGGTTGGTACTCTCCTTGGTCTTCATCGTACTTCCAGTTGTCCAGAAGGTCGCACAAAGGGTGAAGAATCGTTGCAGGTTTCTCAAACATCAGCATGACATCAAGAGACAATGGCTTCTGCGCCAATTGACTGCATAATAGTTTCAGGGACATTGTCTCCTTATTCCTGCAAAGCTGCCCCATTACCTGCTAAAGGTCAGCACTAGACTGCGTTGATAGGTATGGAAGACTGACTTCTGTCAAAGCTTGGCACACGGCGCCGGCGTTTCCTTCTTTACTGTCAAGCTCACCAATCAGAGCCTGCATTCTCTCCGGGTCTGCAAGGCATTCTGCGACGAGGTTCTCTTTGACGTATCTTCCGCTTGCTGGAAGTGATGAATAGGGTGTTTCTCCAAGAAGAGTCTCAATACTGCTTTCCCGCAATAGGCCATGAAGACAGCAAGCCCAGCAAAAGTCTTCCCGAACTGAGTCTGTGAAGGGGTTGTTACTTCTGGTTTCGTCGAACATTGATGATAGAGTGGGAAAGGTGGTCGTGTCGACGCGGCTAAGAGCTTCTGTGATACAGTATTCTGCATTCACTGGGCCGTACATATGCTTGCTCAGACTTTCAATCAAAATCGGTAATTTGTTCATGAGGAATGAGCGCAAGAGATGTGCCGCTTGATGCCCCTCATTGCGGGAGGCGGCATTGGCAAGTATGTCGAACGAGACCAGGATGAGGTCAACAGTTGTTGATTGTACATCGCCCTGCAGACGTCAGATGGTGTGCGCATTGTGTCTGCACAGACAGAGAAAAAAAAAAACACTCACCTGGTATCTATTGTTCAAGTAGTTGAAGATGGCTAGATCATCGATCAATGGCCGGCCAACTAGCTATTGCGCTTCCTGTCAGCATCTCTTCCAGAGCGTAGCTTCAGTCAACTTACTGCAGCATTCAAGTATATGTAAAGACCAGCTCTCGAGTTGACTATAGGTAGCTCAGACACTACGAAGTTCTCCAATGCTACAGTAGAGTCAAACAAGTCCTCAATCTCGGCATTAGACTTGTTCTTCTGCTCGTCGACTGGCTCAAAGCCTGCTAGCGTACTTGTCCGAAACATGTCCAGACGGGTCGCGATAGGGCCAGCACTTTGCATGATGGTTGGGACGAAGTTGGCGAGGCTTTCGGACAACGCCTTTCTGATTTCTTATTCAAGATTAGCTAAACGCGAAGTCTTTGTAGCAGTACCTAAGCACATACCTTGGGCTTCAGGTTTACTCAAAGCTTTGAGTACAACCTGGTTTTCGCACACCCCGAGAAGCAAAGCTACGAATGCGGCACGCGCCGATTCCATCTCTTCTCTCACCTGGCTGTTGTGAAGCTGCCCCATGACATCGACCGTGAAGGCTGTGGCGGCATCGGTGAAGAGCGCAATCCATTTAGCCATGACGTTGGCGATCTCAAGACCCGTCCCTGTGTTTTGTATTGCGGTTCCTTGTGCCACAGACTTGGTAAGCCTGTAGAACATGACCTCCTCGGCCGCATACGAGCTCTCCCATCGCGGGAAATTTGATGTTTGGTCTTCGGCATCGGGCAACTGTCGAGCTTCTCGGGAGTGACCACGAGAGGTCGAATATTTGTACAAAGCTTTCAGAATCGAAGGCGTATCGATATAGTTCAGGCTGGAGAGCACCTGAAGGTAGCGTGGGACTCGGGGGTCGAGGCTCTCGTGATTGTGAGGTCGCGGTCGCAAGAAGAGGTCGGCGACGGCAACTGGCGGTAACGGATGCTTTGCTTGGAGAAACGGAACATAGGATTCGAACTTCTCGGGATCTATGCGGTGGGCCAGACTCTTGGCTATGAATTCGGACCATTGCTCAAGTGCGGCGCGCTGGACGCCTCGTATTACGCGACCGTCCATGTTGGCAATAAAGTTGCGGGCGACTTCGAGGTTGTCGCTGTCGTAGAGTAAGACGCTAGGCGGATTAAGCCGGGCCCTTTGATCTCGCCGAGGCCGTTTGTACGAGCATACTTCTACGCTTGCTTTGGGAGATGCACAGCTAGGAAAGGATCAGTAGTTTCGGTGGTGATGTGTTCTGGGAAAGTTGGGGCGCATGTGCGACTCTGTCTGGGCTTGGACAAGATGGGTATTGTTAGTTTCTTGATGTTTGGTCGCGCTGCCGTTCGCTAACGCAACTTCCATTATCTTATCCACTGCGGAGTGTATCCGCTCCTGCGAGGGTAGCACACAAGGTACTTAGGCACCTGAGGACGCTGAGGTACCTAACTTCCGTAGGTCGCCAGAAACGGATACCCTAGGTGCCACTAATGCATTCCCTGCATCTTTCTGAACATCGTGATTCAACATGGATCCCATAGTCAAAAGTCTCATTATTGGAACGATCTTACCATTTCGTCGCTGGAATGGCAACTATCTGGCATGCATACGAAGATATGTGGACAGTCACAATACGCCCAAAGGATCAGTGGGCATGGTACGCTTTCGCTGTTCATGAATTTGACGTTGATTCGGCTACTGCCCGCTATTGCGGAAAGTTGACTATGAACGTTGTGAGCCAGTTACCACTTGGTTCTGGGAGCATTTCACGTGGCCCTTAGGCCTCTGTCTCCCGAGTTGAGATGCACTAGCATCAATCAGCTCGTCTCCTTACAGGTGCGATCTCTGCGGCGAGATGTTGCGCCAATGTGGCCAGTCTCTCCCACGGTGCGCAAGTCCGCCTGAGTGGCCAAGTTTGGCTTTCATGACGAGCCAGATCCCGACCTACAGCTCTGAAGCGGCGAGGCGGCAGACCTGTCACCCGTGCCAACTGAGCCTCGTCATTCGTTCTTTGGCCCGTGTCCACCGCCTTTTTTCTTCCTCTCCTAGGCTGGAGCTTTGAAGCCACCAAAGGACCTGTCTTCTCCTCACCGGGAATGTCTTTCAATCGTTTCCATCAAGCCATATTAGAGAACGCCAATTGCACGTGTTGTGTGTATGTGTGGGGGGTGTTGTAAAACTGTCAGCTTAGCAAGATGCATAATGCGTCGCTGACAAAAAGGGCATGGGTGACGATGGGTGCTGTGGTATGGGGAATATGGGGTTGATGGGATGTTGATCCAATGTTGGCAAGTTACTGAACCAGCAAACGGAATTTTCGAAGGTCGCTGGCAATTTGGTACTTTACATGTCCATTGAATCGCCGCCATTGGCGAAGCTGAAGCCACCCTGCTGGGGAGCGGCGTTGGTGCCGAATCCAAAGGTACCGTTGGGACCGGTGCCCTGGGCCATGCCCTCGTCCGCGTTCTCCTCCTCATCAGAGAAGTACTTCTCGATGATGTTGTATGCCTTCATGTAAATCTCCTCGTTGGCGTTGGTCTGACAATCGTGAATCTTCTCCATGCCACCGCACTCCTCGATAAACAAGGCATAGCGGTTGACAGAGTCGGGTCCCTCGCCTGCGGCCTGCTTGTCCAGGTCGCCGACCTTGAGAATGTTTTCCAAACCGTCAAGAGCAACCTGGATGATCTTGTTGTCGGGACAGGCCAAGAGATCGCACAGAGGCTTGATGCAGCCCTGAGCGACTAGGTAACGGATCTGCTCCGGCTTTTGCAGGCCTCCTGAGGTTGCGTTGCTAATTGCCCAGCAGGCCTCCTTGCGAGTCTTCAGGTCGCCATTCGACAGGAGGTGGATGAGAGGGGGGATGATGTTTGCGTCAATGACCGACTGGATCTGGGCGGAGTTTCCAGCGGTGATGTTGCTGATGGTCCAGCAAGCCTCCTTGCGGATGCCATCCTTGTTGGAGCTGAGAAGCGAGAGGAGGCAAGGCAGAGAACCACAGTTGATGATCACCTGCGTCTGAACATCGTCGCCGGTGACAATGTTACCCACCGAGCGGAGAGCGGGCGTCTGGACAGAGGTGGAGGCATGCATGAGGAGCTCGACAAGGCGGCGGGGAATACCAGCCTCGATGACGGCCTGAATCTTGTCGTTGGATCCGTCAGACAAGTATGAGATGGCCCAGCAGGCGTCGATCAGAACCTCGTCGTCAAGGGAGTAGACAAGCTTAGAAAGCACAGGGAGAGCGGGTGCAATCTATGGACATGGTCAGCATGGGACAGGCGCGAAGACAAAAGATGTCACTTACAGTGTTCCAGTCGGGCTGAGGGGTCTTGCCTCTGCAGAAGTTGCTGAGGGTCCAGGTAGCGTTGCGGAGCATGCTAAGCTTGCGGCTGTCTCCGAGAAGGGCCAAGAGAGGCTTCAGGGCACCGCAGCTGAGGACGTAGTCGCGGCAGTGAGGGCTGTCACCGGCGATGTTGCCCAGGGCCCAAACGGCCTGTTCACGCACATCGGGCTCAGGGCTAGCCAAGAGCTCGACGAAGATGGGGACTGCACCAGCCTCGATGACAACCTGAGTCTGCGTGGCGGAACCGGAAGCGATGTTGGTCAACGCCCAAGCGGCCTCGAATTGAACGAGTGTATGAGGCGATCGGAGGAACTCTACGAAGCGGCTGACAACGCCGGTCTTGATGACCTCTTCGATAGGAGGGTTGCGCTCCTTGGACAACAGCTTTCGGAACTTGGTGGTCGCTTGGATCTGGAGGTCAATCTGCTCTGAGAAGACGCCCTGAACCATCTGGGGGAGATCCTCATTGAGCTAAGAAAGGTTAGCATGGTAGCTTTGAATAAATGGAGGAGCTATAGCTTGTGATGAAGCAGAGTTCGGTTCGAGCTCTTCGCGCAAGCTTGAGGCTGCAGAGACTCAGAGAGGGACCGACTCGCGCCAAAAGGGAAGTGGGGCAACGGCAAGGCGCCCTGGCAACAGGAGGGGGAGGAAATAAGACGAAGGGTGCAACAGTATTGGCGGGGTTCAAACAAAGAAGAATCAAAGGCCGGAATGTCGCCAAAAAAGATGAAGCAAAACTGACCTGAGATTCAGTAGGAGCGGTATCATCATCGCTGTCAGGAGCAGCTCCGAGGGAAGCGCCGGGTCTGTTCTCGCCAGAGCCGATGCCACGACGCTTGGCCAAGTTCTCCTCTCTCTTCGCCTTGCGAATCTCAACCTGCTGCTCCTCTCTGCGACGACGAAGCTCCTCAGGCTTGAAGGTGCTCTTCGCCTTGAAGTTGGTACGGCGATGTTCGGGGATGTATCGATCAGCCATCTTTGCGGTTGCGTGGGTTGATATGATTGTTGAGTAGTGTTTTCTTGCCGACCGTCAGGAGGAGGGGGGGAAGGCAATGTTTGGTCGGCGGTATGTCTGAGAAAGGCGTCAAGTGAAGAAGGGTCTCTGCCGAGATGGATCTTCTGGATCGTGTCGCGCAAAAGTGAAAAGGAGGGTAGGAGTTGCGCGTGTTGGGAGAAAAATCCTGATATAGTTGTCAGGTCGCTGGGAGAAAAGTTGTGATGATGGGGGGGAAGATGAAGGAAACTGGGAGTCAGGGAGGGTGAAGCGAGAGAGCGGGTCGAAGAAATGGAAAGTGCAGGGCCCTGCCATAACCCAATGGGGATGCGTACGTTCTGGTGACTTACGTTTTGCGCTGCCTGTTGGGTTGGCTGAGGTACCTACTACGTCGTTCTTTGGGAGGTGCCGGTGGCCGCAAGCGAACTGTCTGATTTTTTTTTTTTTTTTTTTTTGGGCACTGGCTTTTGATGGAGGGGCCATCTGAGATTCAGCAGCAGTGGCTACCTACCTCAGGTACCTTACCTTTCAATGGAAGTGCCCCAGTGTGCCCGGAACGATAGGCAGCCTCACATCCACTGGGGGGTTTGGGTCGGTAGGTACGGATACCTACCTTACCGTACTACCTTACCTAAGGTCCCTGGTGGCCCACTATCACGGGTACAAAGTTGGCACCGTATCCATTCAATATCTGAGTTTGTAGCAAAGGGCTTAATTCAATAGAGAGCCAAGTATCGTGGTATGAGATTATCACCCCACTTTGGCTCCCGACAGCGCTTTTTAGCCTGGTTTCCTAGGGGATTATGTCATTGAAAGCTAGTAGGGTACTTTGCTTCCCTTCGCTCAGGTATCTTCCCCGCGACGGACCGATACCTAGTTGCTTGCTTTGGGCTACCGCACCTATGTAAACTTTCACAGGACAGTGACACAGATGGCTGGACCCACCAACTTGACAGCGGCAGGCAGCTGTCTGTCTCCCAGCTGAGAGCCCCGTGCAAAACATCCGTCCGGAGTTCCTGCCCTTATTGCGTCCCTCAGACAGGCGTGGGCACCTGCCTACACAGTACCTAGGTAGCTTGAACAGTGGTTGAGACCAGCAGGTGCGCCTGCCCCTCCTTTACCGGGCTGGGCTGCAACCTGGCTCCTGTGTACGAAGTAGAGAACGGTACCTGAGGTACGCACGGGTACCTACCAGGTAGGTAGGTAAATCCAACAAGCAAACACAACTGGAAGTGAGTCCCCGCGTAAAGTAACCTTCCTTTTGGTGGGGCGCGACGCGCCTTTGAGATACAGCTCCCTAGATGCAAGACGCGTCAAATGGCCAGCAAACTCAAGTGCCTATACGACATGCCAAACACAGAGTCGGACTTCTACAAATCTCCAGTCGCCTCTGCGTGCGATGAGAGCGGCAAACGACGTGCCTTTCCGCCTGCCTATGCTAAACTTTACCCTTTCCTCCATTGGCCCAAATCATAACGATGGCGGAGACCGAAAGCCCAAAGGCCATGGATCTCCCAAAGGGCTTTACGCCCTTGAGCGACTTCGTTCAGTTGAAGGCCCCCCCTCAAAGTATCGTGAATGTCATTGGTCTCGTCAAGGATTTCCGTCGCCCGATTGTTACTACCGGAAAAGGTGATGTGCTCGAATCCTTATTTACCCAAATCCAGCTAATGGCTCTCTAGATTATAAATGTCAAATGAGTCTCATTGACATGTCTCTATCGAATGAGTCTGAGGGACAAGACGTGAACCTCGTAATCTTCCGGCCTCCAGGAGACATGCCCACTGTCAAAAGCGGCGATGTTGTTGTTGCTCATCAAGTAAAGGTAAGTCACTGACTTGGCTTCTGCAGACCATTTAATATACTGACAATTGGCCTAGACTCAGAGGTACAGGAGTGATCCCTTGTCTCTGTTAAGCCATTTTAGCACAACCCTCCACATATACTCAGCAACAACAATACCCCCTCCTCCTCAGCAAACGCCAGCCCCGTCAAAGCCATCCGCCACAGACGAAAAACGAACCCCAGCACCCATAGAGGGGCAGTACATCTCTTGGCTGTACCACAACATCGACAAGACGGAAATTCCTGACCCTGAAGTGTTTGAAATCCAAGCCAACCAATCGCTCAATATAAAGAACAAGCTGTGCGAGTTGCAGGATGTTCGGGATGGCAAGTTCCATGATCTCATCGTCCAGGTTGTCAAAGATCCACACGAATTCGGAGACAAGGTGACACTGTACGTCTCGGATTACACGGAGAATTCCGGCTTCTTTCACTACACCAACAAGCGCCTGGACACTGATGGTGGTCGAGACGGTGACCCGTACGGCTATACCCATGCTAAGACTCGGAAGTCCAACTCGGAAATCCAGTCAGAGGGGCCTTTTGGCAAGCAAACCATGCAAATCACTTGCTGGAATCCTCATGCCACTATCATCCGAGAAAGAAGGATCAAAAAGGACGATTGGGTTCGCTTGCTCAATGTCCAGATCAAGTATGGATCCAACGGGCAGAACCTGGAGGGATTCCTTCGAGAGGACCGGAATGCATTCAAAAACAAGATCTGTGTCGATAAGGTGGATATGCCGGAAGAAGGAGAGTTAATGGATCCCCACGTCAAGAATGCCCTCAGAAGGAAGCGAGATTACGAGAAGCAACTCAAAGCTGAGTCCAAAGAAACGAAATCCGCAAAAGGAACGGACAAGAAAAGGCCGGCGGTAGACCAGCCGGAGCAAAAACCTCGGAACGCCAAGCAACGTCGAGCATTGAAACGAAATCAAGTTGCAGGGAAGGAGAAGGAAACTGGAAAGGAGGCGGGCGAAGACAAGGAAATCGAAACACCGCCAGACCTCAACAAGCAAGTGGTATGCGAGAATCACGATGAGCCGGCTGTCGACGTGGCTGCCATCCTCGAACCAGCAACACAGGAGTTCATCTTCCAAAACGCGCCTCTGATTGTCAAACTTCCTTTCCACGACGCACAGTATCGGACCCATGTTCGCATAGTCGACTTCCATCCTCCCAGGATACAGGATTTTGCTTGTGTTCGCAAGCAAAACGAATACGACGTACTGTCCGACTTTTCTGGTACAGACTCGGAGAATGATGATGACGATGACGACGAAGAAGGACGTCCAACCATCGACAAGTATGTGAGCACGAGCGAGCAGAACTGGGAGTGGCGATTTGCTCTGTGTCTCCAGGATGCCACCGCAGCCAAGGACCCCAAAACACGAGAGAAGAAGACGAACAAATTCTGGGTTGTGGTGGATAACATGGACGCCCAGCTCCTGACAGGCCTTGACGCATGCGACTTCCGCACCAACGCGGGCGTTTTGTCCCAGCTGCGTGAGAAAATGTTCATCCTCTGGGGAGACCTCGAAGAGAAGAAGACCAAGAAATTGGCCGAGCAGGGCAAGAAGCAAAAGGCCAACGTTGGAAAGAAGAAGAAGAACAGCGACCGACCCCCTGATTCCGACGACGAGGGTGCGGGTGCGGGCGGGGCGTCCAAGATGGGGAAGGAAATCATCTCGAACCGTCCCTTCACTTGCTGCATACGTCAGTATGGCATCCAAGTCAAGGAGCCAGACAGCGAGAAGGCAGATGCAGGGACAGGACAGAGATGGCAGCGAATGTATGGGCTTTTCGGAACCAAGATATGCGGTCACTAGCCAGGTGGTCAAGCACGGGGGTGTACAGGGACTTTGGGACATGTATTTTACAACGATTGATGACAAACTTGCAGAGCGGCGGCCGCCACAGGCACAAGGACTTGGAACAGAATGATGTATCCCTAATGAAATCGTGTCGTATCAGCTAGTACAAGAGCTAATCAGTTGTCTTTTATCCCCGTTCTAACGCCTCGAGTCAAATGAGCCATCCATCCTAGACAGGCGCTCCCGTTCGCCATCACACCACCGAGCATTAACCCTACTTGCAAGAGCGATCCACGGAGACACTACCAAGCTTCCTCGCCTCTAGCCATCCCGCAGTTGAAGACTGAGCCAGACAAAGATAAGCGCACGGGAGATGAGCGGAGGATAAGGGGGCTCGCAGCCAGTATCCTTGTATAAACAGAGCAAAAGAAAGTCAGACATGTAAATGTAAGCCGTGGTTTAATCCTCCCCGCAGTCAGAAAATTTGATTTAGTCGCCCAGTACATCGTCGTCATCATTAGTAGCAGGCGGCTCCTCCACGTCAGGTTCCTCTTCTTCCTCCTCCTCGAGCAGCTCCCGCCGTCGTAGATCTTCTTTCGAGCCCTCCTCCGGCTCAGGCTCCTCGACTGCCTCTTCTTCATCTTCCTCTTCGTCGTCATCGTCGACGACGATCTCTTCGCTAATGGCGGGCTTTGCAGCAGCGGACCTTGTCGATGCCGCCTTGGACTTCTGCAACTTCTTGCCGTACAGGTGATCTCGGACCTTTTTGGGATCGAGGTACGCCACCACCTCACTAAAGTTCTTGCCGAGCCTGGTCTGGTTTCGTAGAAGTCGCTTGTGAAGCTTGCCCGCGTGGGGACCTGATTGGTCAAGGACCTTCTGGGCAATGGCAAGGACGTACTTGGCCGCCAATTCACACAGGGCCCTTTCAGATTTGAGCTCTTGAGCCAGCTTCTCTTCTTGCGTCAGGCCTTCGTCTTCATCCTCTTCTTCATCAGAGTCGTCGTCGTCCATTGGTTCTTCATCTTCGGCAGGTTCGTTGAGAATCTTCTTTGTCCGCTTCGCAAAGGTCTTCTCGACGCCATCGTAGATTGAAATAAGCTCTGGAAGAAGCTTAGGCTCAAGTTCGTGAGCCAACCTCGCAAGCTTCTTATAGTTTGCGTTTCCGCGAGATTCTTCTGTCCAATTCCTCAATGAGCCGAAGAGCACATGGATATCACAGAGAGCACCAGTGGCAAACATGCGGATATCGTCGATGATGGCTCGGGACGACAGAGTTTTGATCAGACCAACGTCGTACCTCTTACGCAAGACAGAAACCTGATCCACCATAGAGTTGGGTATTTCGGTCTCGCTTTGAATGAACTTCTGGAAGCTCCGCACTTTCCACATGAAGTAGAACTGAATCCCCTTAATGGCAAAGGAGACAACCTCATCCTCCAAGTCGTCAATGTCCTCGGTCTGTTGATCAAACGTGCCTCGGCCAACAATGTTCACCAGGAGCTCGATCGTGGATGACATTGAGTCGGCTGCGCGACCTTCCGTTTCCAAGACCTCCATGCAGTCGGATATACGAGCAAGCTCACTGATCTTCATCAGCACCGTGGAAAGCGCCTTCAGATGATCCTCTGCTAGATTGCCGCGCATAGATAGCTCGCAGGTCTTGTCGAAGCTGCGCAGTGTGTTGATGACATTCTCCCACAGGACCGCAAGCTTTCCGTCGGTCAGCTCCTCAAGCTCGTCGTACTGGCGAGAGTGGAGAAGAGCAGCGGCGGCCTCGGCAACAACTCTTTTGTCGTCGTGCCTGTTGAACTGAGTGCTGATCTCATCGAGCAACTTTTCATACTTGGTCGAGTCTTGCCGTAAAGTTTGGAAGACTTCGAGATCAAGGAAGTGCTCCATCCTGAGAACGATCGTGGCGGTAGCAGGATCGGCGCCAAATTTGTTGAGGAGCTGGGGAATGACTGTCGCTAATTCCAAAGCGGTCTCTTCTTGCGCCTCTGTTACCTCTGGACGCCCACTCTTCTTTTTGTTCTTTTCAATCTCGGCAGATTGCAGCATCGACATCTTTACTGCGGATGCCAGAACCTCGAGCAAGATGGCTTCCTCAGTGCCCTGTGGTCCAACGGCCTTCTTAAAAGCAGTCTCGGTTGAAGCACCATGTGACTTGGATTTCGACTTGGAACTGACTGTATGATCATATAGCAGGTAGCCTGCCAGCAGCTCCCACTGCTTCACATACGGGACCTTTTCAAAGAGGACCTGAGAGGCAAGGGAAATTCGCGTGTCTGGAACGTTCGCCTGGGTGACGTCTGCGGCGGTAGCAAGACCGGCACCATTGTCCTGCTGCTCCCCCTCGACTTGCGCATCAAACGCCGCGAGGTTCTCTGCTAGGCATTTGATGTTGACCCATGTGCTGCGAGGCGAGTCATAATCGTCCTCATCGATCTCGCCAAAAGTCTCCTCAAGCGCATCCTGCCCACCGAGCTCTTCCATCTTGCCTTCGATGGAATCTTCGACGCAAGAGATGAAAAAGTTGACAACCGCTTTTCTGATTCTTATGTCGCTATCAAAGATGAGTTTGCCGATTGAGTCAACTTCGTCTGGTTCGAGCATTCCGGTATCCCGTAGTACATTTATGACAGAGATGGCAGCAACGCGGACAGAAACCTCAGCGTCCTTGGTGGAGATCTCTATGAGACGAGGCCGAAACCGGTCAATGAAGTGGCCCAGTTGTTGCACGTCACGTCTAAATATGCGTGCTAATTGCCTGAGGACTTCTTGTCGGGTGGAGGCGACGGTGTCTGACAGCATCCAGCCGAGATAACGGAGGTACTCGGGCTGCATGAACACTGTGGAAAGACCAATGATCCAAGACCCCAAGGACTCGACACACTCCGTCCTGATACGCGGGTCGATATCTCGGTATCTGTGAATGAAGGTGGTGTCGAAAAAGTCCTTGATGTGATTGCCACACAGCTCTCTGTTATCATTGGCCTCATCGAGGGTACGTTGCATTTCGGCCAGCTTCGCCTTATTCTTGCCCCTTTTGGCTTGCGCAACTTGTTGCTCGATCGCAGTAATTCGGGCGTCGAGCGTGTTTGCGACATCGATAAGGCCGTAGACTAGGGAAAGAATGACAGTTGTCGCGGTGTGACGGAACGGGCGAAGTGAAGATGTCGACATGGATGCTATCCAACGGACGAGGTTCTCCATCAAAGTAGCGTCATTGTACAGGACATCTGTTTCGTGGACACTCCGAACAACGCCCCGGAAAAATCCAGTGAGTAGGTCACGGAAAGCCTTGGTGTTCTTCGCCCTGGAAATGAGGGGGTACTCAGTCACTTGCTCCTGTGCCAAAGTTAGCTAGTTGATCCGCGGCATAAGGCTGTCTTTTGTAGTTATACGGGGACATGCCTCTTGGAACAGGTCTTGAAGCTCCGTCAGTCGAGCCTGGCAATTATCAGGGTCACGAATGTCGTCTTCCGTGATCTCGAGGTCGCAACCAGAACACTGGAGCACAAGGTTGACAAGCTCTACGACAGCAAGGGCATCATTGGCTTGATATCTGGTCTGCCACTTATCCGCAACCTCGTCTGAAGGCATTCCCGAACCGAAAACATCGGCTATAGACGTGTCAGATGATGGAATCGGCGAATGAATTCCGGGGTAGCGACTAAGACTTACCATACAGACCCTCGGCTTGCCTGTCGGCGGTAGCAATTCTGACTGATTTCTTGGGCCGTGACGGAAGACTTGCGGAATGACCAGATGGAGCTACGCCGTTGGTCTTTGGTTTCTTGATTGCGGGCTTCCTTGCGCGGCTCCCTTGCGATGCGCCCGTTCGCTTCTTGGGCCTGGCGCGGGGCCGTTCTTCGTCACTATCGGCAGCATCGCTCATGGTAGCATCCGACAGAATGTCATCGTCGTCGTTTCCTTCATCGTCATCATCGTGTCTTTTGCGCTTGGGTGCGGTGACTGGCTCCGGGCTAAACTTTTCGGGGGCTCGCACGACGCGTCCAGATCGACGACGCGACGACTCGGGTTCGGGGGAAGCTGTCGCGCTCTCCATGATGTCGCGTAAAGGCAATGTTGGATACCGTCTGAATGCCTACAGGTAATCGCAGCAATGGCGACAATTATTTCGCGCCGATGAGCGAATGTCCGGAGGGGTGGCGCATATGAGGAAAATTGTCGCGTTGAGCAAGTGCGTTTACGTCGAAGATGTTTAGGTGACGGGCTCTCCAAATTCGCGAGTGGCAGAACGGGACACGGACGGGTTGGGGGGTGTGGTGGATCGAAGCGCCGGTCCCTGCCTTGGTGCTATGTGAAGGATGGTGCAGCTGATTGGCGAATGAGCAATGGCCGCCTGACGCGGAAGGAAGGACGAGACCACGCACCCAGCACCTAAACTGGAAGTCACCTCAGGTATGAGGTAATATGGCGGGATACCTTCAACTCGTGCACTCGCCGCGCTCACCCGTCAGAGAATAAACACCTTGATGGAACATGTCAGGGTTACAACCGGCTCATCTGGATTCCCTGTTACAACGTACATACTTGATTGAGGCAATTTAGTATACTACTGACTTGGTCAGGGCTCGTTCGAGTCGAGTAATGGAGAGCGAGAGAATGCAAGTGACCTTACTCGAGGTGCGAATGATTGGCCGTTCGAGCTACATGTCTCGTGGCGTGAAAGGTCAGACTTGACATCAGGCCAGGTCTTACTTTATATTTCCACCCTCTCCAGATCAAGTTGTCTTCATAAGGTACGGACCTTCCAGTTGATAACATGATTAGGTTTGCCGCCTTAAGAGTCATTCCAAGAAGTTGTCATTTGACGAGTGCTGCATCCTAACAACTGCTCGAGCTTTAAAGGATGAGCTCGCGGGGCGCCGGCGGCAGTACAGTGCATTTTCAGCACTCTGCGGCCACACTGTGTTCCTTGACATCAATCAGAACCTCTCATCGAGCAAGCATCGCAGACTCGAGCTGATTTTTCGCAATATCAAGTTGCACCAAAATCGTCATATCGCAACCTGTTCATGATCAAGTCACCTTTGACCAAAGTTTTGGTACGTGCCCCCGGAAGTTGTGTATTTCACAAGAGGCATCTCTAACTCTAATCCTCATCGCAGACGAAGAGCAACGCCAACTACTGGGCATGGCTTGTCAAATTTACCCCTGATACGTCTGAACTCAACCCACACCCAAGCCGGCAAAAACAACGATGGAGTCTCCGTTTCCCAAGTCATCTTCAGTGGCCGGCGAGGGCGAGATCATAGCCCAGCTCCTGCCCAACGGCCTGTCGGGTCTCAAGGGCATGTCATACCAGTACCCCCTAAAACTCATCTCTCCGACACCGGCAGCCGACCAGAAAAGCGTTCTGGTGTTTCTACTCTCCTACGGCGGCGGACTTGTCGGGGGCGACAGCGTCAATCTCTCTATCCGCACTCTACCGGGATCAAAACTCAGTATTGTCACACAGGGTCATACGAAGATTTTCAAGTCCGCGTCTCCCGACGTCGTCACGCGCCAAACGCTCAGTGTTCATATAGAAGATGGTTCAGGCATCTGCCAGCTGCCAGATCCAGTTCAGCCTTTTGATGGAAGTGTTTACGAGCAGACTCAGATATTCACAGTTGCTCCCAACGCATCTCTGTGTCTACTGGACTGGGTGACGCAAGGCAGAACGGCGCGCGGTGAGGATTGGAGTTTTGTCAAATGGACAGGACGCAATGAAATCTGGCTGGAGAAAGAAGCGCCCAGCCAGAAGAAGCGTTTGTTAGTGCGGGACACAGTCATCTTAGACAGAGACAGCCAAGGCCTAGTAGGGAGGTCGCTACGAGACTCTATGCATGGAAACGGCCTCTTTGGAACTTTGATCCTGAGAGGGCCCCAGATGCAATCATTGGGCAATTTCTTCCTCGAAGAGTTTGGTGCTTTGCCTCGTATTGGCGCGAGGGATTTCAGATCAGCTGAAGCGAAAGCGAAGGAAGAAAGCAGCTTGACTGAGCACGAATTATGGAGGCTCAAGCGCATAGAGATGGAGACGAAGGATGGTATCTTGTGGTCGGCTGCGAGGGTCAGGGGATGTGTTATTGTCAAGTTTGGAGCAAGTACAGTTGAGGCTGGCCGGCTGTGGATTGGCATCATGCTGAGTCGAGAAGGCACAGTTGCAAAAGTCTATGGGGAGCAAGCGTTAATGTGCGTAAAATGAGGTCTTTCTTCTTTTTGACTAGTTGAAGGAGATACCGCCATTAGCAAAATAAGCAAGGCAACTCTTACTGACTTTTGTTGCTCGTATGAGACCCCTAATTGCTTTTTTTGAGTCGATTCTGGCTTGAATGCTTCAGTTCAAGTACTTCGTACTGCTCAAGGCCAGTGAGCGGTGCGCACCCAAGTTGCGTCGCATTGAATCTGTGCTTGAATGCGGGGTGAATCAACCCCACCTCTATAGGTGTGCAATTCAGCGGGACAAGGAAGGTGTCTTGGGTGCTATGTACAAGGGGCAGCAGGTCCCATAAACGTTTTGTCCCCCACCACGCTGAGGTAATCGAACATCTTTTTCTCTGGGCGGCATCTGTGACTCTCCCACCAGACACTACCGGACAATATTCTTTACCCTGCCATTGCCGCATACCCAACTCGAAAATACGGCAACGCTCCACGCTCAACTACACAAACGATAAAGGAGATTACTTTGAGCCCGTTGCTCACATTCCATTGCCGTCAGTCACCATGCCAGAGGGAGCGCCGCCGGCTCGAGGCGCCGGTAGGGGTCGACCCCGAGGGACGAGAGGAAGAGGAAGAGGAGCTGCCAGCAGTGCCACACCCAGTGCCGAGGGACCGACTTCAACTTCGAGACCATCTTCGGCGCTGGTAACAGCTTCGGCGACCGCTGCACCTTCCAGAACCGCAACACCCAACCCTCCCGCGACGCGGGGTACTTCAGCCACCAGATTTCGTCCCAGAGTGGTGCGTAGAGACGAGGCGGCGCGAGACGCAATTGCAAGACAAGAGCTAGAGAAGGATAATGCGAGGGCAAAAGTAGAAGCTCGCGCCCAAGCCCGCTCCCGGGGCCGCAGTCGGCGAGCTCGTGGTGATGCCATGGGCAGGGGTGGCTTCATGTCGCGAGCTGCGGTCGCTAGTGGCCCGTTCTCGCAAATGACAACAGAGGGTATGTTGAAGGAGGGAATTGTACGTTCGGTCCTTTTGAACTAACTTTGTCTAGGAGGTGGCAGATCCGGCGGAGGATGGGGGGGTGGTGGTGGTGGAGGAGGAGGCGGCGGCGGAGGGTTCTTTGGCGGCGGAGGCGGCGGCGGCCGAAAGAGAGAGGGTGGCGCGTTTGGAGAGGCTTCAGGCCATCGCGAAGCACGAATCAACGCCGATAGACTCGCCGGATATCCTGTCGACCGCGAGCCCGACTCTGACGACGAAGAGACGGCGGCTCTCATTGGCGCGAAGCCTGGTAATATCTGGCCCATGGGTATCGCCCGTATCGACAAGAAGGAAGAGAAGAAGACGATTGCGACCTCGGCCGAACTCGAGGCAGAAGAGCAGGGCAAGGCTGAAGAGAGCCTCTTTGTTGAAGGAGAAGGATGGTATGGCGCTAGTCCCCCGATGGAAGACGAGACGAAAGTCTGGCATGCGGCACCCAAGGGTGTGGTCCAAGTCAAGGCAGAACCTGGCGGCGAGCCAGGTGCTATGGAAATTGCGCCGGTCGACTTCAACGCCCACGTCAAGTCCGCGACTCCCGAAGCCGAGGAAGAGAAGGTCACCCCTGAACCGAAGACAAAGAAGACAATGGCCGATCCCGAGGTGGAAATGATTACACACGACATGGAGCTTCTGCTGGGCGAATTGGGCACTGTCACCGACGAAAACTCCAAGGCACCCGAGACAGAGGTTGCGAGCAAGGACGGACGTCTGTACCTCTTTCAGTTCCCGCCCTTGCTGCCACCACTGCAACCTGCGACTGCGCCCAGGGTCAAGCCAGAGCCCGACGACGTCGTCATGCTCGATCAGCCGGGCGAGGCTGTTGACCTCACGCAGGCGGAAGAGAGCTCAAAACCCAAGGTCGAGGAAGCCGATATTGACCTCACGGACATTAATCAGTTGGTCTCCCAGGCTGGAATGATGGGAAAACTCAAGGTGCGCAAGTCTGGAAAGGTCGAGTTGGACTGGGGTGGAAGAACACTCGAACTTAGCCCAGCTGCGGGCATGAACTTCTTGACTACCGCAGTGATTGTGGAGGAGTCGGACGAAAAGGCGAAGCAGGGTGTTCCAGGTGGAGACAGTATTGGCATGGGTAAGATCATGGGCCGCTTTGTTCTCGCGCCGACTTGGGGTGACGAGGAAGAGTGGACGGTTGACCCAGAGGATCTTGTTGTCCCCGAAGCGTAAGGCGAGAGCATGAGGATGGCTCTTGTTCGCTGATTTATCCCGCCAGCGGTCCAGTGTCAACAGATCGGACGGGGTAACAGCATAAGCCGCTAGTGGACTTGGCCCCAAATCTTGTTTGGGAGGTATTGAAAGGATAGACAAAAAAAAAGAGATACCCTAGGCTAATTACATTGCCTCAGTTCGGACTGCTCTCCAATGGGACGAACTCGAGGGACGGCGCCGTCCCGTCGGTCTTCCCCACACTCCGCAGGTGAGACCGTCCGTGAACACCAACCCCCAAGACGTGGTGTCGGCGCTTATGTCTGCAATATCTCGTCACGGTTCTTGTAATGGCCACTTCCTTGCGTCCGGCTTTCTTTGAAGGTCTGGTCAGACTGATCATGGTGAAAAGAGACTGTTGCTACCTACTGGTCTAATCAGTGGAATCGGCAACCATCCGCTGACGTAACTCATAATCTGTCACAGTTCAACTATCCAGCATGGAGGGGCACACTCAGAATATTTCCAACAACGATGGTATCCATGTGATAATCATTGGCGCGGGTCTTGCAGGCCTAGCAACGGCTCTTTCGACCAAACTCGCGAACCCTTCTCACCGCGTGACGATCCTCGAGGCAGTCAAGGAACTGCAAGAAGTTGGTGTAAGTCCTCTCATCCTCTCACACGCAAACCCTTCGCGCATCAGCTCCTCTCAGCTCCCAACTTCGTTGAACTTACACGAGACACAATCGCAGGCCGGCCTCCAACTCACACCAAACGCGACGCGCCTCCTCGAAGCCTGGGGTCTCTTCCCGGCCCTCGTCCCCCTCGCGACCGTCCCCTCAACCCTCTCGGTCCACCGCTACGACGGCACCCGCCTCCTCGCTCATGAACCGCACCTCCAAGAAACGATCCAGTCCCGCTACGGCCATCCCTTCTGGGGCCTCCACCGCGTCGAGCTCCAACGCGCCCTCGTCGAGCGCTGCGCCGCTCTCGGTGTCGACATCCGCCTCGCCTCGCGCGTACGCTCCGTAGACTTTGCCAGCGCGACCGTGACTCTCGACTCGGGGTCCGATTCTTCATCGCCCTCTTCCACCACAGTCTCTGGCGATGTAGTCGTCTGCGCAGACGGAATGTGGTCCGCCACCCGCGCCCAATTCCTCAACCGGCCCTCACCCCCCTCCCTGACTGGCGACCTCGCCTTCCGCATCGCAATCCCCATCGACTCCCTCAAGGGCCCTCACAAAGCTGAGCTCGAGGCCTTTATCAAATCCGAAACCGTAAACTTCTGGATCGGGCCCCAGGGCCACGGTGTCTCCTACACCGTAAAGCAGGGCCGCATGCTGAACCTCGGCCTCCTCTCGCCTGATAATCTGCCCGAGGGCTCGACAAAAGTCCTCGGCGACGTCGAGGAGATGCGTGGCCTGTTTTCCAGCTGGGACCCTCTGCTGCGCAAGCTGCTCGACCAGGTCGAGAGCGTGCACAAGTGGAAGCTCTGCTGGATCGAGCCGCTGGACGAGTGGGCGAGCAAGGATGGGAGGTTCTTCATGGCGGGAGACTGTTGTCATCCGATGCTGCCCTACCTCGCACAGGGCGCGAATTCTTCGCTCGAAGATGGCGCCGTGCTGGGCCACCTGCTCGGTAAAGTCCGCGGCCGCGCGACGGAGACCGAGGCTGGGGAGAGTTCGTCGACAACGACCTCTCAGCTCGCTGCCGCGGCGGCCATGTACCAGCGCCTGCGCATGGCGCGAGGCCAGCGCATCGTCATGGAATCCTTTGCGCAGCGCGACGATTTCCACATGCCCGACGGCCCCGAGCAGGAGCGCCGAGACGAGATAATGACGGCGTCGCTGGCACCTGGGGAGGGGCCGCGGCCGGGGTTCCCTTCGCGGTGGACGTGTCCTGATATCCAACGATTTCTGTACTCGTATGATGCGTACGCGGAAGCGGAGACGGCATACAAGCAAGATCCGTTCTAGGTGTCTTCAGATTGTGTTATTCGAGCATAAGAAGCTCATTCGGGCCCCCCTTTCTATCAAAGATGGGTTCGGACTCTTTGTATACGCGCGCGCACCAAGCGGCGCGATTTAGTTTACATCCCAGCACATACCAATGATCTATGCTTCGGCCCGCCTTGATTGTCCAAAGACCAAATGCTTCCGAGTACAAGATGGCCAGTATATCCAATATCTATACCGGTCGTCTATATCTCCAAGCCGCATAACAGCGGCTCCATACCGTTCTCTTGCTCAGCATGCGATGCGCCCGGATATACACCTAGGGCACCCTTGAACGCCATGACTCCACAAAGGTAGACATAATCGTATCGATACAATGGTCGGGACTTTCCCTCTAGTTACCATCATCTATCCCTTCTCCCTCCTCCAAGCCCGACCCGCCCACTATGCTGGCTCTGCGCGTCGAGACCGTCGAGGTCGACCGAAGATACGCTCGGGGAGCCCAGCCTATCCCCCGTCCAGGTGTCGCTCGCTTTATCTCCTTCGATTACGTACATCTCGCTTTTAGTGTTGCTATCCTGTCTCCGGTTCGGTGGTGCCATATAATCCGAGCCATGTTGCGTTCCCGCCGTCTTTGAGCCGCCTTGCGAAAACGGCCCTGGGTATCCAAGCCGAGAATTCGGCCGCGGCATGGGCTCGTGTTTTCCTATCCCGCCGAGCTCCAGATCCGTGTCGATACCGTCGATGCTATCGGTGCCATAGGGATCGCGGGGCGCTGAACGGGGCGCCGAGCGCGCCGTCCCCGATCTCATTCCACCGCTGATATGCCCGCTGATGTGCCCGCTCATGCCCGGCGTTCGGTCAGTCGAGGTGAATCCGTTGAGTCGCCATGCTCGGAGGAGCGGTCGGATGGTTACTAGACTGGAGGCCACGATGGCAACTCCGGGCTCGACCAAGGTCCATACCATGGCGTCTGTTCCCATGACTGTAGCTGTGTTAGCACGATTCGAGGTTGCTTTCTGGCTTTCGAGCCCGTAAAAAGGGGGGTTTTGGAAATGGGCAAATATCGTACATAAGATATCGGTCAGATCGCTGAGGTCGGCCAAGAACTTGAGTCTGATGAGGGTTGCAATGCTGGCACTGGGTCTTGTCAGCAACTCTCCTATTGATCCGTCTGAATCCAGGTTCACTTACAAAATTCCCAACCCAAGAATGACAATGACAGTCGCCTTGGCTTGCTTGGTCATCTTGACGCTCCATATCATGGGAATAGGGAGCAGGGCCTAGATGTTGTTAACATTAACTCATAGGCAATCGTGGATGCGTGAGAAAGGTAACTTACATAGAGCCAATCGCTCAGAATCGTCATGACACTGATGGAGTAGGCCGCCGCCACGACAGCGTCTGGCGATACGCACTTTGAGTTGGGAATAGCATAATCCCATTGCGCTTCGACGGGCGAGCATTGGAATACGTTCCAAAAGAAGATGACCACACTCCACACAGTAATGATCGCCAGACTAACATAGATGATCCAGTTGTATAGCTTTGAGTTGGAGAGTCGCAACAGGAAGAAACCAATGCTCAGCTTGATGAACAGCATGTCGAGGACATATGTGGCGGTAGCCAAGGCTTGGTACTACATGACTTGGTCAGTGTCACCAACGAGCAAAAGGAGTAGAGCCAACATACCATCAGAGCAGAGACCTCCTTCCGTTGATCCAGGGCTTGGTTGTGGTGACCGAGGCCATCATTAACGCCGAGGAGGATAAAGGAGCAAGAGATGGTAAATATGATCTAATACTTCAAGTCAGTGAAGCCGTGGCATGGTCCGTCGAGAAGCAAACTCACCTGGGCAACCAGCATGAGCCAGTCATCGGCTTGGAAGCCTTTGGTCATGAAAGCTCGAACATAACATCTGAGAACGACGGAAAACCAAGAGAGAACAAGGAAAGTAATGGCAGTGGCTACGAGAGCACCACCATTGCTCTCTGATAAATCTACCTCGGCCATAGGGCTGTGGTACCGAGATGCTCTAGGGAGTGGCAACTGAGAGAGAGCATGGCCAAACGGGGAAAAGAGAGAGCAAATCAGCCCGGTAGGATGGTTACATGAGCGAGACAATGGGATATAAGCTGGTCAGGATCGATGTACAGCACTCGACACACCAGGGGCCCTGGCCAGAGAACCCAAGGGCTGGATTCCCAACTTCCCGAAGCGCGGATGAAAGAGGGTCGCCGAGTCTGAGACCCCGGAGATGGGCCCCCGGCAAGGCAGGGTCGACATGTGGAGAGAGACGAGGATTTAGCTACACCAGGCCACTGTCCAAAGCAGCCGCATGGATGATGATGGAATATGAATTGGAGGCAGGGGACCAGCGAGGGCTGGCCGGACGGAAGTTTTGCATCCTTCGACTGGTGCGGATTTGTGAAATAAGTCCCATAGTCCCAGACCGGGCTATGCTTGTCCGTCAAGAAGGAGGAGGGAAGGGGAATGCTCGTAAAGATGCACTAGGTAGCAGAGACTAAGAAAGGTTACTGGGGGTATATGCCGGACAGTGGGCTCGGTCTGGAGAGCAGGTTCGAATATGTAATGTATTCCACTGCACAATATCTGCGGATTGAGTCCGCGGATGCAATTATTCGAGGCCGTCTCACCTCCGAACGTGATGAGGGTTGCAGTATGCAGAACAGACGCACGTCTATGGAGCCCGGGAGGTGGGAAGCAGGGAGGAGGGTGGTGAGCTCTCCCGGGAGGAAGAAACGAACGAGCCAAGAGTTCTTTGCAGCCGGTCCCGCAGATGGGAGCACCTTTCGCCTTGCGCTGCGCACTCATCGGTTGTGATGTCTGAAAAGAGAGGAGAGAGAGGGGACAAAAGCCGGTGGGCAGTAATAAATTGGCACGATGTGCTGTGCCGCTGCTGCTCTTGAACGGCCGCAGCGGACCAACTCCCAACGCCCAGAAACTACCTGCTTGGTCGAGATCTCGCAAAGAAGGCCATCTTTGCAATCAGCCAGGCTCTAACACTGGTCGAGAGCATACGGTCTCAGCGTGATTTCACGAAACCACTAGGTTCGGTGAAAGCACACCGCTAGGCCTTGGTTGGTGGTCGTGTTTGCCAAATCTTGAACTTTGTGAACGGTGGTCCCTGTCATCATGGTGGTCACGATTGAGCTAGAAGGTTGGAATCTTAGCCAGAGCAGTGACCATGTACACAATGAGGAAGTCAGCTCCGCTGAACATGGTAGACGCGTCGTAGTTTGGGCCCGGCGATTTGGAACATCCCTGGACGAGGTTGGTGTGGTTTCATGCGCGCTAGCAGCATCGACACAAAACGTATCCGTAGCGTACAGCTGAGATGAGTTTTCGCTAACGAGGTAGAAAGCGCACTTGCCACTAGGGGCCACATGGCGTGGTATGAGTTGGAGGGAACTGGCAAGTCGGAGTTGTGAACTTGTGTGTGTGTGATGTGAAGCGTCGGACTTGACGAGCCGAGCTATGCGGCCAGCGGAAGACTGAGTTACACTAGGAGGCGGCGAAGCGGCGGCCCCTGGTTGGGCTGCATGTCGCTTTCGGATGCAACATGGGTGGTGTTGGAGAACGCTGACGAGCAAAGAGAAGACGAAGGGGAAAAGCAACGACGGAATGCAACCCAATTTGGCTGACAGGGCGCACTGGCGATGGGGGAGCCGGCGGGAGAGCTGCAAGAAGAGTGAGCGCAAGGCCGTAAAGGGCACAAAAGACGGGCAAGGCTACTTGAGTTGCATGTTGAGATACCGTTATCCCATTGCCTGCCCAATTGTTACACAATCGTCTTCTGTTCATGAGTGATGCCCGCCATATGATCCTGGACTTTTCAGTCTTCAGCGGTGCGGGGCAGGGAGGGAGGGTACCGGATTGTCAGAAAATAACAACAAGATGAACATCTGTCCGTGTGTTTTGACACATGGGATCAAGGTTTGAGTTGGCCAGACCGGCAGAGGAAGAAGCGCAACTTGTTTGGGCGCGGGCAATATGCCCAAGACGAGAGAACGGGGCTGTAAGAGGGGCTACTGGGGGTCAACTCCGAACTTTCTGCAGTCTAAAAAGTGAAGTTGTGGCCCTACTCCGTACAGTATATTCGTACTAGGTAAGGAAGATATACTCGATCTCCTAGGATTATGTTGGAACCTGTGGCCAGCAAGTTTTAGCAAGAGGGACTTTCCCAAGTCTGCTGGGTCATGGCAAAACAGCGGCGCTCAGCCCTCGGCCAATAGCGCACATTGTTCATATGTTCTGTAGATTGAAATGGGGTCGCGTGGGTTTGACGTCGGGCAGTCCCCAGGTCTGGAGATTGCTCTGGGTGAAAAAAAGCTTGCCGTCGGTGACAGGTGGAGGGCCCGGCTCGGGAGAAGAACAGGGTGCCGTGGTGCCTGCTAGTCCATTAGGCTCTTTGAACTTTTGAAGTTTGATGGCCGGGCCGCGACAAAAGGTGGGCGTTTTCTGTTTACACTACTGCGTAGATTGTATACTTTATCCATGGAGTGGTTGGGTGGATTGCGAGGGGCTCCTGAGTGGAGTGTCAGAAGATGGCGTTCCTCGGCATCGACGATGAAATGTGACTAAGAAAAGACGCTTGATCTTGGCACATGTTATTCGGGAATGGCATGGCACAAACTAAACGTTTCCTGGCGTGTCTGGCTGTGAAAGTTGAAGTTGAATAAGAATGGAAAATTAAATACAGATACACTACTGTGCGGAGTGTACCTTAAGGTAGAGTAGATTTGTCGATGAGGCGTCGCCATTTGGGCACAGACAATGCTCTAGAAGCAGAACCAGAAGGAGAAGGGGGAAGACGGGACCTGACGGGAGAAGCAATAACGGCACCGGACTTTCTCCATTCTCCTTCTCCTTCTCCTTCTTTCCTCCAGTCTGTGCCCTGGGCCCCCCTTTCTGTGACTTGCAGTTCTGTTCCTGTTCCTGTTCCCGCTCCCTCTCTCTTCTTATGCTCCTACTCCTCCTCCTCCTCCCAGGTGCCGCTC